CCCCCCCCTCGTGTTGTACATAGTGTGCCGTCGATTTTGATGGAAAAATTTGTCCCGGCCGACATTCAGATAGATTGAGAGGGAAGAACTGATTCGAGCGATCGACCGTAAAACCCAAGCTCAATATTTAAACACTGCAAAGAATTTACATTTCTAAAGAACTTCGAAATTCCCCTCTTTCGATATGAAAGTATACAGTTCGTCAGTTTTGAATTTTCATTTTTACCAAAATGTACAAAGAAAACCGCATTTATATTGATCCCGCTGAATTCGCGAGTGTATGACTCAAATCAATATCACGTTGTCGATCTTCGGGTATACTTACTTGGATTGACAATTCCACTGTGTCGATCCCGTCAGGTCCGCCTTCTTCTGGTTCTGCAATGATGAACGTGGCAAGGTGAAGATGCTGAATCCTGAGTACGGCGTAGGCGATATAGCTAAAGAATTAGGCAAGAAATGGTCAGATGCAGATCCCGAAACCAAATCTAAATACGAGGCTATGGCGGAGAAGGACAAGGCTCGATATGAGAGGGTAAAGTATCTGTCTTTTGTCAAGATCCGCCCTTGCTATCGTTCAACACATAAAAAGTTGGAGAAATGCAAAAGATGTACATCACACATATGATATTTTAAAAAACTTGAGACTTGTGCCTCATTCGCTCTTATACATATTTCTCTCGTGTATATATATTTTTTCTGCAAATCGTCAGCTTTTTCCTATTATGGAATCTTTCCTTTTGCAATCAATACAGATAAAAAAAGTTATTTAATATATTTGTTCTCTCTCTCTCTCCCCCTCTTACAGGAGATGACAGCGTACAAAAAGAAAATGCAGGACGGCGCCCCGGTGGTGGGCGGCGCGCCGGCAAACACTGTAAAAAGCGACAGCGAAGAGGAATGGAAGGAAGACGACGAATAGCGGATGCACGTCGAAATTTCATCTATCACCCCGTGTCCTTCATCCTGAAAGCATACCTCACCTACTGTACGTACCATTGACCTTAGCGTGAGCGTACTTACACCACTAGGAGAACAAAGTAACTAACCACCAATTCAACCTTACCTACCTTATCAACCTACCACAATCTACCCACCAACCAACCAACCATCCACCCAACCACCCCGCCACCCAACCAATCAACCAACCAAACCTCCCTTCTCCTGATTATTTACGATAATAATAAAAAAAAGGTACCCCGCGCGATTTACGATAATTATTTTAAAAAAAAGAAAAATATTGTATGTGTGAGAGTGCCACCGCGCGTGCGCGAGTTTGAGCGAGAGGCGAGAGGATTGTGTGAGTGACATTTGTACTTTAAAACATTATTGATAGTAAAGAGAAAACGATGTAAAGTGGCTAGTAGGATAGAAGTCGGAAGAAGAAAGAAAGAAAGAAAAAGGAAAAAAAAGGAATACGAGGAAAAGCCGCGGAGAAGACGAAGGATTGCGCCCGCTCTTTCTTTCTGTTCCGGGAAAGGCGCAAAAGGGGCTCAATCATTGTTGACTTTTCGCTCTCTCTCTCCGACGCTATGTTACTACGAGCTAAGGATTAGTTTACCGCTTTTGACGAAACTTGACGAAGACGATACGGTTATTTCTCCCGATATTTTTTTTTATCGATGAAATCAACCCGCTGAACTATCTCGGGAGGATATTACATTACGATTTTTCGATAAGTTTATTCTTCCGTTCAATATTTTACAAGAAATCCAGGTTTTACGAGTATATATAGCAAATGTGTATCAGTATATATTTTATATATGTATATCAACACATAAAAAAATATATAAAATGATACATCAACGAATACATATTTGCATCGGTGTCGCCCGCAAATGTACTTGCGACAATGCAGTTATACGTACCAATATAAAGATCTTCCGTGTGTTCTGTCAGGACATCGAAATGTTCTCAGTGAGATTGTACTCGGATCCTCGATTGCAAAATCAAGGGATACAAATTTTTGGGAAATAATATGTTTTGAATAAAATCAGATTTTTAATTTTTTTAATACACATATTTGAACATGCATCAAATGTCACTCGCAAATACATTTGCGGTAGTGTGCACAGTACATATTAATACAAAGATCTCTCATGTGCTATCGGCACATTGAAATGTTAAATTCTCGGCGAGATTGTACTCAAAATTGTACGGAAATGTACCGGATTCTCGATAAAAAAAAAACAAGAGAATGAAACCAATGGGAAATAATATATTTTGAATAATATATCAGGTTTGACTTTTAATCAATTCGTTGCGAAGCGTCGTCGTCTTCGTCGTGACATACACACACACACACACACACACACACACACACACACACACACACACAACACACACACACACACATATATATATACAGATTATTATTGTATATCCTTGTACAGAGAGCTTTGTCTTTCCTTTCATACTTTTTAGCAAATCTGATCGTTGAGCGCGCGTGCCGGGGGCATGGGGCTGCTTTTTACGTATGTAATGATGTGCGAATGTAATTTGATTCTCGGGTACACGCACGTCGTAGTAATAATACTGTAAGTACATTTAGTATAATTATTATAAGTGTACGTGTATCTTCGACGCGAACTTTTGGATTTTTCCTTCAATTCTCTTAACACTTTCTCTTCAGCGTGCGACTTTTGTTTTCTTTTTTTTTTTCTGATCACTAATTGCGTTGTTACGAGCTGTACGAGCCACGTGATTGAGCCTTATTATTGATAGCTGATAAGCGATCGCTCGAATCGAATCGAGAGAACTGTGTGCGAGAGAGAATGAGAACGAGAGAGAGAGGGAGAGAAAGAGCGCGAGAGAGTGAGAGGGTGAGAGCGAGAATGTGTGTGTATGTAGCTCGCAGCTTTTACTAAATCAAAATTAGCAAAGCCATGGAGCAGAGCGATATCGCCGAGTTCTTAACACTGACGAAGTGACAACTGTTGTACTCACGAAATTGAGAGAGAGAGAGAGAGAGAGAGAGAGAGAGAGATTTCATTCTTTCACGAGATAGACTCGCATACCAGGCACAAGGTTACCGTGTCGAATTATATAACGTCAGAAAGCGACTGAACGCACGCGAATTAATCCTGCGGTGTACGTCGAAATAAATTAATTTTTTTTTCCTTTTTCTTTTCTTTTTCTTTTCTTTGAAAAAGAAATTTTGCAGAATAGTTTTTAGTAATAATTGTGTATCCGCGAGATTCTCCGTGCGAGACAAGTGGAATCGAGTATATTCTGACATACTGTATTGTTAAATTATTTACATATTACATGTATTATACTGACTCTTATTCTCTTACACATTATATGTACGTATTATACCGATGATGTTACATTCCGATGTCGTTACCTTTCATACTACGTTCACGTTCTACGTATTGCCGATACCAATTGGCATATACTCGATTTCATGCCTGACTACAGCAAATTCTCTTATCATGTCAAGTGAATTTATCATGTTTTTATATAGGTACTACTCGAGTTCCAAAATGAGACCTCGGTGTGTTAAATTGACTGAGCAAACGTTATAAATACTTGGTCCATATAAACTACGAATTCTAAATCAGATTTGAATCTAAAATTTTAATCTCGACTGTCATAAGGTTCACTCTTTTTGAACCTTTCTAAATTGAATTGTAAAGTGACATACATTAATAATGTTCGGTAAGCTGATATTCGTCAGTCAAAGTTTCTGTGTATAATTTTAGAATTTATTTTCACGCTCATATGGCAATACGATTCAACCGCTTCGTTTTGCAAAGAAACTACCTTTGAACACCAGCACAGTTGGCACAGCTAAGAAGAAATTAAAGAATTCATTTTTTCGTGCAAATATCGTTGCGACACATCGTTGAATCTTCGCGTACTTGCATCGACATTGTGCTCACGATTGAGCCTTTACCCTTTGAATTACGTTGTTGAACGTTTCTTGTGTTCCTTCAAGAAATTGATTTACTTTCGACGTACACAGCGAGATACGATCCGTGTTTTTCGCTCGTCGCGGCATCATCGTGACCAATCTCGATCGTAAAACGCAAAGACGACGTTCGACGATGTCTCTCTCGGCGTCCGCTTTACTTCAACGTGCGCGCGACAATGAGAGAGCATTCGTTCACCTTGACGAATCTTGATTTTGATCTTGAAATTGTAACGGCGAGATTTTTCGTTGTTTCACCGCTTCCTACTTTTTCTTTCTCTCTTTTTTTGTTTTTTTTTTCTTCGTTTTAACGCATCGCGGGAAGAGACACACTCATACTTTCTTCTCTTCGTTCGACTTTCTCTTCAATTTCTTTTTTTTTTTTTTTAGATCTTTTTTAGATCTCAAAGTGGTCCCTGACCCTTGCCACCGCCATTTTCCCTCTCACTGATTCGTTCTTCTTTTCTTTTATTTCACTGGAAGGAGACGCGAAAGACAAAAGGGGAAGTACGTTCAAATCTCTCGTCTCGAGACTCACGTGAATGATTGATTGATTGATTGATTGATTGATTGATTGATTGATTGATTGATCGACCGACCGACCGACCGACCGACCGACCGACCGAACGATCGCCGTTTTACGCTTCGTGAATCGTAAACATACCTATCGGGAGCGTGTTTCGGGTGAGGAAGAAGCAGCAGCAGCAGCTCCCCCGCCGCGAAGAAGGGCGTTCTCTTTTTTCTCTGTCTTGTACTGCCTCGAGTCATCTGTGGTGTACAGCAGGCTGTATTATAATAAATTATTGTGGTTTCTTGTAATATTAACATTCCTAGATCCTAGCGTGTACAGATTTTAATGATCGTTCACGGGATTGTAGAGAGGGGACTATGCAGGAGGAGGAGCCGAAGGAAAAGGAAAAAGAACGAAAGAAAGAAAAAGGAAAAACAGAGAAATAAGTAGGCCAGATCTCACTGGTTTCTTATGCCTCCCCTCCCCCCCTTACTACTTCGGAAGGAAAGAAACCAAATGTCCATTTCTTCGACTTTTAATTACACAAGTCTTAAAGTTTGCAAACATTGTAGGTTGACGCATACCTTATTAATCACGTCGACTAATTGGTATTTTGGTGATTGAAGAATGATATTGAGAGTTCTCGGAGAGAGAGCTTTTGTATTCGGGATGTTTGCAAATTCCAAGACTTCGTTTCTCTACGAGCATTAAATCACTCTTCGCGTCCATCCTTGTCCGTGTTCCTTTCCCTTCTCTCTTCCTTCCCTTTCCCGAAAATATATTGTCTCATGTTGTCGACGTGAAATGCGATTCTGACGATTGATCATGAGCAGGACGAAAACGAGAAAGAGGAAAAGGAACCAGTTTTCTAGAGAAGGATATCTAGAGAACGCGAAGGAGAAAAAACCGACTGTAAAATATCAAATTGTAATATTTTAATACTGATTTGCAGATGTGCATAATTTTAACGTACATAGCCAATTTATGCGAAAGAGCGAATTGTAACTGATAACACTGAGATGAGATTTTGTGAGGCATCACAGATAGTCATCCGTTTGAAGGGCAGAGAGATGATCGAGTGGAGAAGAGAAAAAGAAAGGAAGAGAAAGAGGAGAGATAAAAAAGAAAGGAAAGGAAAAAATGGAATATATTCGAAAAGATCATGACATGAATTTCCTGTGTTACTACTAGGGGAATTACGATAGTTATACACGAGAAGAAATGTTTGTTTTGTATATCTCTTAGGGATAAATAAACTTTTCAAAAAATATACCTGTTTTGTATCTTTATCCTGCTGTTGCATCTCTTTCGAATATCTATCCTTTCTCTTGTTATCACATCTGTCTCTGATGTCCTTTACTGCTACTGTATCTCTTCCTGATGTGCTTTTTTCACTTTTACATCGAACATTCTACTATATTTCAACTTCGTATTAATCCTTCAAAATATTATAAATATTAGAATGTTATGTAGCATGTGTAAAAATAGAAAAACCAGAAATATAATATACAATTCAAAATGATTAGGAAATCATTTCATCGGAAATGCCTGTGTGTATCACCTGATATATATTAAAATTAGTTCACTCTATTTTAAACATTCAGCGTATATGTTTTACATGTGTAATGTACAAGTATAATATAAAATAAATATAATTTGTTTTTTCTCCCTTTCGTTAAAAATTTAAGGAAGTTGATGAGATAATTATGTAAGATATATATATGATTGAATTTTTGTGAAGTATATAGTAAAAATTCAATGATGTATATAAGTACTGATTTATTCTTTTTGCATCAATATATATAAACTAAATTTACATTCATCGAATTATACTTCATGTACATAGATCAGCACAACAGCCTTTTTAACACGTAGCAATTATGATTTTCAACACGTGCTCAAAAATCGTAATAGCACACACCAGTCTCTGTAAGTTGAAGAGATCTTATGATATACTTGATTAATACTGCCTTTTAATATTGAAAAATAACAAAACATGAAAGGAACTGCGATCGATTGGGTTTTTGTTATTTAAGAACATTGAACTTATCTTTAATGGACGGATTTTTCGCGGATAATTTATAGTTTCACGTACTTTCCTCGTTATTATATACCACCATAATGTAGATTTTATAAATTTCAAGGCAAACGTCTGAAACCGTTAAGAAAAAGAAATATCGCAAGATCAATCCTTCAAATTCATTGGCTGGATATATTTCGAATCGATGCGCCATTTATCGTTGGCCATAAACTATAACCATCGATATAGAAAGATAACTTAGAGAAAAATACCAGCTTTATTCTTTCTCATTGAACTTTCCGCTGCAATTGTTCCTTTCTGCTCTTTTTCTCTCGTTAATGCCGTTTAGGGAGAATTCACACCTTGACAGAAGAGCGACAGCCAATTAGAACTCGCTGAAAAACCGGATAAACCGGAACACATGCGAACGCATACGGCGAAAAGCCGTTACTGGCGCCACCTGCAAGACGCGCCGACGAACCAGGCGCATCGAACGGACTTTCGGAGGCGGCCCATCTCAGTATTTTCTAGGTACAGTCACCTTTTTGTTTGCCTTCGGTCTTGACAGTTATACGAAGTGCTGCACACACGTACGTTTGAAAATTCAATGCAACAGACTTAATGGCCGCTGGAAAGTCGTGAGCAGCGGTTCGCCCGGCGGCCCTCCACATAAGTGCGTCTCGTCTTAGCGCGCGTTACAACACGATTTAACGGCACGAGTAACGCGCCGCCGAGATCAAAGTCGCCCTTCTTATGCCGTCATTTTGCTAGGTAAGCCTCCGACGATCCGCGCGCGAGCATGAAAACCGCGAGAATCGACGGACGTCGAATCTGCAGGCTTGAATTGCTCCCCGACATTACTCGTTCTGCATTCCGCGAGAATCCTGAGCGACCGATCAATCTCACAACCGTTATCCCTTCGGCAAACCTAACGCATGTGTGTGGGTACTGCGTTACGTAGCCGGAAAGGGAACACTTGTGAGTTTGATAGCCGTTATATTTACGCTTCGATTTTTCTCGGCTCTATTTTAAGTACTGTTTATTTATTTTTAAGACGCTAATGTTTATTGATTGAACTTGTTTTAATTAGACTCTCGCGGTCCATCCTTCTTAGTCGTGTTTCTTGCGTATTCTTTTTACATTGTTTCTATTTTTTTCTTTCATTGTCTGAACATATACTTACTTTATTCGGAGAATGTAAAAAGGTCATCGTAGTGCAGATAAGAGAATAAGACTTGTTACTGAAATAGTAAAAGTTCCAAGTGCAATTGATTGATGATTGGATTCATTGACATGGTGTAATGTGTTATGTTACATCTACTATGTTCTAAGCTTAAGTCACTGGAAATACTAACAATGAACATGTTCTAATACTCTTGCATGTAGCAGTGGAATTGTCAGAATATATTTGTTGGGACAGTTCAATTTATTTATTGCATCATCAAAAGAATTCCCTGAGATTCTGATAATGGTTTATTAATTTTTTTATTTCTGTGATATTATTTATAATTTTGATCACCAGTGCTTTGTCCAATTTACATGTGATAAGCTTACATATAAATATTCTCCATGTTATTACCTTGACCTTATTTCACACGATGACTAAAGGAATATTTCGTATGACTCATTCTTTAAGGTAATCATGGAGCAAGATACTGAATATGTGAAATTACCCCTTGAGGAGCGCTGTGTGCACAAGGTAACAATGCATTGTGCTTCTAAATATTTATCAAAAACAGTTGTATCTTTACACATATATCACTACATAAAGTTATGAGATCTGATTGCGAACGACGACACCATGAAATTGAAATTGATCATTGTAATTAAAGAGTGACGAAATTAAAATTCTATAATTTGTGTTTAAATACACTAGAGGCGTCGTTTTCATTCTTTCCTCCATTTTTAATAGAGCTTTTCAGGTATCCCCCGAAACATACATGTCCCAATAGCCACTCAATAACTGATCGGCCATATAACTAAAATTGTCAATATTAAATTCTGACGTTAGATTGAACAAATGAACTACAATACCTCTTATAATAAAATGCGTAGTCTTGGAGAGCACGTTTGCACGGCTACGAGGAGTGCGTGAAGACGTTCCAGTGCATCGACGACGAGAAGTCGACGGAGTGGAACAGATATGTGGGCTTCATCAAGAAGTTCGTGCTGGACAGCAACGCGGCGGCCCAGGAGAAGGGACTGGAGGCGACGCTGGCCTTCGTCGAGAACGCCGCAGTGGCCGGTAAAATAGTCGGCGAGGTGATGAGCGGCATCGTCTCCAAGTGCATCGCCGCCCCCAAGGCGAAGACGAAGGAGGTGGCGGTGCAGATCACCTTGATGTACATCGAGATCGAGAAGCACGAGGCGGTGCAGGAGGAACTGCTGCGCGGCACGGAGGCGAAGAACCCGAAGATCGTGTCCGCGTGTATCGCCACGTTGACGTTAGCGCTGAAGGAGTTCGGGCCGAAGGTGGTCAACATGAAGCCGCTGACGAAGAAGATCGCGAGCTTCCTGGAGGACCGGGACAAGACGGTGCGCGAGGAGGGCAAGGCGATGGTGGTGGAGATGTATCGGTGGATAGGCGAGCGCCTGAAGCAGCAGCTGAACACGCTGAAGCCGGTGCACGTGACGGAACTGGAAGCGGAGTTCGGCAACCTGCCGCACGACAAGGTGACGCCGACGCGTTACCTGCGCTCGCAGAGGCCGAAGACCTGCGCCGGCGTTGGCGCAACGGCGGATGCGGCGGCGAGCGACAACGGCGAGGACGACAACGAGGACGGCGAGGGGCCTTCCGTGCCGGAGATAGACCCGTACGACCTCTTGTCGCCCGTGGACATCCTGTCGAAGTTGCCGAAGGATTTCTACGAGAAGATCGAGGCGAAGAAGTGGCAGGAGCGCAAGGAGGCTCTGGAGGCCCTCGAGACGCTCGTGAAGAACCCGAAACTGGAGAACGGTGATTACGGCGACGTAGTGCGCGCCCTGAAGAAGATCATCTCGAAGGACACGAACGTGCTGGTGGTCACATTGGCTGGCAAGTGTCTGGCCGGCCTCGCGTCCGGCCTGAAGAAGCGCTTCCAGCCGTACGCTGGCGCCTGTCTGCCGGCGATCCTCGAGAAATTCCGCGAGAAGAAGCAGACGGTGGTGCAAGCGCTGCGCGAGGCCGCCGACGCCGCTTACCTCAGCATCACCATCGAGCAGATCCTCGAGGACACTCTCGCCGCGTTGGAGAACAAGAACCCGGCCGTGAAGGCCGAGACGGCCGCGTACCTGGCTCGTTGCTTCGCCCGCACGCCGCCGGACATGCTGAGCAAGAAGCTGCTGAAGGCGTACGCGGGCGCGTTGCTGAAGACGCTGAACGAACCGGACCCGACGGTGCGCGACAACTCGGCGGAGGCTCTCGGCACGGCGATGAAGCTGATCGGCGAGCGGGCGATGATGCCGTTCCTCACGGATATCGACAATCTCAAGATGACGAAGATCAAGGAGTGCGCGGAGAAGGCGACGATCCTCGTCAAGGTGTCGAAGAAGCCGGACCGGCCGAACACCGCGCCGGCGAAGGTGGAGGCGACGAAGGCGGCGGGCAGGGAGAACAAAGAAGGCAGCAAGAAGGCGAACGTCGCGAAGAGACCGGCCAGCAGCAGCAACGCGAACAAGAAGTCGGCGAAGAAAGGCGGGGCGCCGTCGCTGACGAATTTGGCGCCGTCCAAGAAGCAGCCGACGGAACGGAGCTACAGCCCGGAGGAGGTCGACGAGCTGGCGGCGCAGCTGCTGCCGGCCGAGGTGATCTCCGGCTTGGTGGACAGCAACTGGAAGACGCGTCTGCAGGCGGTCACGCAGCTCTCGGACACCGTGAAGAGCATGGACCCGGCGGACGTGTCCGGCCAGGTGATCGTGCGCACGCTGGCGAAGAAGCCCGGCTTCAAGGACACGAACTTCCAGGTGCTGAAGCTGCGCATCGAGGTGGTGAAGCATCTCGCCGAGTGCCACCCGTTTTCGGTCACCGTAGCCGAGCACTGCCTGGTCGACGTCGCGGAGAAGCTGGCGGACGCGAAGAACAGCGCGATCGCCGCGGAGACGCTGCTGGCGATCGCCGAGGCGACGAGCTTCGAGCACGTAGCGGACGAGGTGATGTCCTACGCGTTCAACCAGAAGAACCCGAAGGTGCAGCAGGAGACGCTGCTGTGGCTGTGCCGCGGCCTCGCGGACTTCGGCTGCTGCCTGAACGTCAAGTCCGTGATCGAGCAGGCGAAGCGCGCGGTGGCGGCGACTAATCCCGCCGTGCGCACCTCCGCGATCACGCTGCTCGGCACTCTCTATCTGTACGTCGGCAAGCTGCTGCTCTCCTTCTTCGACGGTGAGAAGCCGGCGTTGAAGCAGCAGATCGAGCAGGAGTGCGAGAAACGCCACGGCGAGACACCGCCGGCGCCCGTTCGCGGCGCCAAGGCGAAGAAGGCCGTCCAGAACGAGGAGGACGACGATGAAGATTCCACGGAGTCGGACAAGAGGCAACAGCCGTTGGCCGCCGGTGGCAGCGAGCAGGACCTGATCAACGACCTGATACCACGCGTTGACGTCAGCGGCCACGTGACGGACGGCTTGTTAGCCGAGCTGGCCGATAAGAACTGGAAGGTGCGCAACGAGGGCCTGCAGAAGGTGAACGCCTTCCTCAGCGAAGCCAAGTACATCAAGCCCAACATCGGCGACCTGCCGCAGGGCTTGGCGCTGCGCTTGGTCGACAGCAACAGCAAGATCGCGCAGTCGACTCTGGGTAAGTGATTTCACATTGTTATTTTCAATTCTCGATTATATTCGAGTGTGAAAAATTATAGCAGCATAAAATACAACGCCGCTCGAATTATCTCGAGTGTGCACAGTTTGGCCTGTTTAGCGCGCTCGAATTAACTCGAGCGTACAAGTTAAGGGGTTAATTAACTGTTTTGTTTCTAATCGTGAAGTACTAACTTGTAGTTATACAGTTGTGTAACTTTCATGCACGGAGTATCTGATATCGAACTTCGATATAAGTGATTATTATTCTTTATTTTATATGATTGTATATTATTATTTGCCAAATTTTATTATCTCAACCTTAATTGAAAGAGGTCTGTGAGAATCAGCGTTAAGTAAGTAGTATTGTAAATATTAAAAGTTATTCGAAAAGTCGACGAATCCAAAAAATGTCGATTATTATGTGTGACCGTTTAATTGTTCATATATTTTCAGGTATATGCGAGACGCTGGCGACGGCCGTCGGCGCGCCGGTGAAGCAGCATGTGCGCACCCTGTTCCCCGGGTTCCTGCAGTGCCTGGGCGACAGCAAGAACTGGATCAGAACGGCCGCGATCTCTTGCATCAACACCTGGGGGGATCAGTGCGGCTACAAGGAGTTCTTCGATGGCGAGATGATAGGGGACGCCTTGAAGGCTGGCTCACCGATGCTTCGCGCCGAGCTCTGGAGCTGGTTAGCCCAGAGGTTGCCTGCGATACCCGTGAAGCAGATTCCCAAGGAGGAGTTATTCGTCTGCCTGTCCTGTCTCTACTCTAATCTGGAGGATCGCAATTCCGACGTGAGGAAGAACGCTCAAGAGGCTGTGCTGGGATTCATGATTCATCTCTCGTACGAGACGATGGCTAGAAACACCGAAAAACTGAAGGTACGCTGCGAGTAATGTAGCTTCGATGGCCAAATAATAGGAGTTAGTACTTACGAGAAATATGATGATTTCGCAGCCTGGCTCGAGGACTGTGGTACTCGCTGTACTGGACAAAGCTCGTCCCAGTCTACCTATGAAACCTCTGCCCAAAAAGGAGCCTTCCGACGAGAACATCCAGAAGGGTGGCGCGAAGGGTGCGAAAGTGGCGAAAGTGGTTAAACCGGTAACGAAATCAAGAATTCGAAGAAGTGACTCATGAGGCTAATTTTTATGAATTCCATATACAAGCGATTAACTTAGTATATATTTATATAACATTTTTACCTCTAATTGTTCCTCTTAAATTTGCTGCTGCCGCCATCCTTGCTGCAATTCAATCGGGCGTCGTTCCAGAAGGGAGCGGCATCGAAAGCGCCGGGTAGCGCTCGCAAGAAGGACGACGACGTGGACACCAGTCCTCTGTTGGTGGTGAACAACTTGAAGCATCAACGCGTGATCGACGAGCAGAAGTTGAAGGTGCTCAAGTGGAACTTCACCACCCCGAGGGAGGAATTCGTCGAGCTTCTGAAGGAGCTCATGACCGCGGCGAACGTTAACAAGACACTGAGGTCGAATATGTTTCACTCCGACTTCCGGTATCATCTGAAGGCTATCGAGGCTCTCACCGAGGTGAGCATGTATACCTGAAACTAAATCTGTTGCACGAATATTCGCTTCCTTGAAAGTGACAAATGTAAGATATATGCTGAAAGCGATTTACATTTACCTCTTGCATCCGGTGTCTAACACAATTTTCCACCTCGTTCCCTTTGTCAGGATTTACCTGGGAACAGCAAAGCGTTGGTATCTAATCTGGATCTCATCCTCAAGTGGCTGACACTGCGATTCTTCGATACTAATCCTTCGGTGCTCCTGAAAGGACTGGATTACCTGCAATTGGTTTTCAATCTATTGATAGAAGATCAGTACCATATGTTGGAAACTGAAGCGGCATCGTTCATCCCTTACCTTATCATCAAAGTACGTTATATTTCTTCTGCATTTACAATTTAATTCACAATTTATGCAAATTTTATAAATTACACGATACACAGCGAGCTTGACATTTTTATCGTTATATTTCATTATATTAACACCATGTTTATCGTATCAACAGATAGGCGATCCGAAGGACGCCGTGCGTAACGGCGTGCGAGCGCTGTTCAGGCAGATCGCTCTGGTATACCCGGTGAGCAAGTTATTCTCGTACGTGATGGAAGGTCTGAAGTCAAAGAATGCGAGACAACGAACAGGCAAGAAATTTCGAATACGTTCTTTTTCTTCATTTTATGCAATGAACATGTTAATGGCCAATTGAAATGACATCGGTCGTGCCTGCAGAATGCCTGGACCAATTAGGATCGCTAATTGAGAATTACGGAGTTTCTGTCTGTCAGCCCAGTCCGTCTGCGGCGTTGAAGGAAGTGGCGAAGCAAATAGCGGATCGCGACAATTCCGTCCGCAACGCCGCTCTCAATTGCATCGTCCAGGCCTACTTCCTGCAAGGGGAACGCGTATTCAAACTCATCGGCCAAGTACGTGACACGTGTACATGGAGTAATTTCGGAGGGAGCATTATTAGATTTAACGTTAATTTTATTCAAATGTTTTACCATCTATTTGCTACGTAGATATCGGAGAAGGATAGATCGTTGTTGGACGAGCGCATCAAACGGGCGGCGAAGAATCGTCCTACGAAATCCGCATCCGCCAACAAACTCTCCGCGCCCTCCGTGGTCACAGCTTCCAGTCCGCCCACGGACGACATGGAGGCGGATTACGAGGAGGAGCAGGAGGAGATCCCCGAAGCGGTAGAGCCGGTGCCGGAACTGTAAGTTCACAAACTGTATTATAAGACCGTGCCCGCGCACTTTCATCATGTAATAATACTCCTCGTAAAATGATCAGTTCATTCTTCTTCTCAGCTGCTTTTTTTTTTTCCTCGTTTGCCCGCAACAAATTTTACTTTTTCCTCTTTATATCCGTGCAAAACCCGGGTCTGTTTCGCTTAAAATGCGGAGAGTGTAGCAAGATGCAGCTGAAGGAAACCGGACCGATCTTTCGCGTGCGTTTCGATACATCTCAAGAAAAGAGAAGAATGGATTCTCAGCCGGTCTCGTAATTATTGAAGCAATCATGCAACCCGAAATTATATCGTGCGCGGAAGTTGTACGAAGTCACTCACGTTTGTATCCGCTTCGCTTTTAACACAATGTCCGCAGGGCAGTAGCCACGAGCTCTGATAATAATCAGGAGGAGCTGCCTTTCGTGGACGCTCGGTCCACTATCGAATCGAACCAGGAAATTACCAGCGATCTTACCGCGAAATTACCAGCGAGCGATCCCGACATCGATAACGCACAAAATTGTCTACCTGATAACGATCGTGACAATTCGACAAAGTTTGTTGCTTCCTCAATCTATCGTTTTGCGCTTTCTGGAACACGTTTTTTCTTTTGTTTTAATATATATATATATATATATATATATATATATATGTATATATATNGAAACGCTTTGGGATTTCATCGTTCCATCGGTGCGCTCCATTTGCGTTAGCTCATTTGTAATCGTTAGAACGTTGTCGATTGTGAATCTGTTCGTTTCAATTTCGCTCCGGTTTAATGATTCGTTAAGCCGATTTTCGAAAAACGGAAAATTCACGCGGAAGCGCGAAACGAACAGAACTTGTATTAACGCACAATGAGTCGTCAAATTCTATGAAGAATTCTGATTCTTACGTACAATTTTTTTTAATCGTTGCAGACGATACATTGTGTCATTGAGAGTGTCTCGAGGGTGGTTGATGATGTAGATTGTAATTGTAAAATAACGAATACCGTTGTATAATATTTTTATTTCACACGTCCTTATTAATTAGCTTACTGTCACAGTGATATTCTAAAGTTTAGGCAGAAGTTTAGACCTATCCTCTATTTTTCGGTAAAACATTAGCGTTCCTGTTAAAATTAGCTTTAATAATATGCTAATGACACGTAGTTAATAGTATGTAAATTATTGTCCAAAGTGTTCTCTAAGCTACTATTCGCATTGTAGTATTCTAATGACTAGATCTCTTCGACTAATTCTCGTGTTCTGAGTAGTCGTATGTTATATACGTACAGTATCCGATTTGATGTGTGTTACATCTTGAATGCTCAGATTTCATCAACGTATCTATATTCGTGATGCATTTCCTTCCTAGGAACTCTCCCACGTCTACTCAAACGAAGATCTCGGGTCCCTTCGGACTGGATATGGAGTTTTTGCAAAGGATCGAATTGAGCGCGCCAGTAAAATACCGTAATCCGATACTGCTGGAGCCCAGCTTGTCGGATCTAAATGAGACTCCGATTAATATGTTGAATACTCCCAAGACACAGTAAGTATATACACAATAAAATGATTACTAAATTACTTAATGGATTTCATAAACTGCCAAGTTATTAATTAAATTGTTACTACATGTCAATTCATATTTTGTCATACTAACGTGCTTCACAGAATGATACCGATTTCACCACCAAAGTTGTTAGTGTCAAAATCATCATCCGTTGTGTCACCCTCTACCGCCAGCAGTAACGATGACACGTTGGAGCGTAACATCTTGTCCATGGCCAGTATGGACTTGCCTACTGCGATACAATCTATGAACAGCATAGAAAACGTTAGTAATTACGTGCTATATATACTTACAAATATCTAATATTTATCATTTTTTTGCATTGTAGTTGTTGAAGTCCCATCAAGCAGCCAGTTTACAGTCTAAGGAAGATAAATTCATCGGATCGATAAATATGCAGTTAAAGCTGTTGCAGACGTATCCGTTACGCCAGGAGAACGTGGACGTGTCCAGAGGCTTCAGAAATACGTTCCTGGTTATACTGGTGGTGAGAAACTAATAAACAGTCGTATCGTTACTACAGATAGAAAATATGTACATTTGAAATTTGTAAATTTACATTTTATTTGTATATTGTTATACTATAAGATTTGACGAGAGATTGGGATAAGAAATTTCATCCCGAGACTTTCATGAGAAATTCTTTTCTCTCTTTTAGTTTTACGACACTGGATATCTTGGAAAAAACGTTCCCTTCATGCATTTGAAGGAACTAGTGGATCAGATGATAAGCTTGCTGGCCGAGAACAAGTTGGAACACTTACATCAGGCCGGAGCGTATTACAGAGTGATTAACAACATCATGGTGAAGATTATCGACAATTCTAACCATACCACCATTATATGGTGAGATACAAGTGAAAATAGTGCTTTATACATTCGGCTCGTTCATTTGTATTTTAATCGTCGTGTTTTCGTTGTTCCTCTAGCGTGTTAATTAAATTGCTTCATTCCTGTGCCGAGTCGAATGTTCCTTCTAAATACGAAGAACTGGTGATGAAGTGTCTGTGGAAGATAGTGAAAACGATGTCGAACTGGGCACCCGATTTGGACTACGATACGATACTTCTTGAAGTACATCGCTTCCTAAAGGTATCAATTTATATGAGAATAAATTTTGAAGAAGATCGTCAATCATTTCTTTTGTAGATTTCTTAGTTTCTTACGACTATACACCTGCTCACCATTATGTCGTTCACAGGATTATCCTACTACGTGGTGGAAGAAACAGAAGTCCGACACTCCGTTACGAACAGTCAAGACTGTTCTTCATAGTATGACCAGAGTGAAAGGCAGCACAATACTTAATCACTTGACGCTGATAAACAATACCAATGAGTCTGAATTGCATGCATACTTAATAAGATTAATCGCGGTAAGCTCACGTCAAGTTCGCATTCATTTTTGCAAAATATATATTTGTACTTAGAAAGAAAAAGAGGCAATGTTTCTTTGGTTGAGAATTCTTAGAATTTGTAAGAATTCCGAAACATGCTGATATTAGGCTGCTTGATTGATATTTTAAGGATTTTAGGAACGAGATTCACAGTTGAGTTCAGAGAATAATTTTAGATATTAAGAAATTCACAAATTTTAAGGCTTGCACAACTGAAGAGACAGATATACATGGTCTAGTTTTCTTCCAAAATATAGATATACGCATATTACGTGATTTATATAATTAAATTATAACAATCATCAAATACGATTGGTACAATACATGCACATATGTGTAAAAATTACATAATTATAAACGTGGGTATTTTTTTAACGCACACACATACAGAGTTTGAAGCCGGATGAGATTAACGCTACGGCAAAAATGAACCCGAAGTCAAATAACATGGGTAGGACGCCGAAACATCTGTCCAAGTCCACTCGTCAACAGTTGGCGGAGATATTCAAGAAGATCGGGTCAAAAGAGCAGATGCAGGAAGTACGTGGCGTAGATCAACGCTTTAATAGCGGTTTCAAAGTACATCTTCAATCTTCGCTTCTCTCCGTAGGGTTTAGCACAGTTGTACGACTTCAAGCTTCAATATCCCGAGGCCGACGTACAACCGTTCCTGGTGAAATCCCATCAATTCTTCCAAGACTTTATCGAGCAGGGACTTAGGCAGATCGATCAGGCGCGCAAGAGTCAGAGCATCTTGTCGCAAGCTAACAATCAATACTCCTTGGGTGAGTAACGCGTTACGTCAGCGTCGAGCAATTAATGCGATTATGTTAAATGAATAAAAAAACGCAGAGACCACCGAGTCCCCGCCAGCGGTTTCCGACGAGAAAGACATGATGGATCCGATGCACAGGCTCGAGAAACTGCGAGCTCTCGAAGCACAATGTCGAACGACCTCCTCGCAGCCGAACCCACCATGAACGATATCGCGCGCTTGATATGAAAATTAGGTAAGTGACACGATATATATATATACACACACACATATATATATATATATATAATATACATATACGCGAGCATACTCTCGTTCGACGTTCTCATTTGCGTCTCAAGACGTTCCACATTCCCTCTCTCCCCCCCCCCCCNTCTTTTTACCCTTACAACACTGTGTTTCCGTCGAAGCGAGTGGACCAGTTGATCCTTCGAGTACAAATCTCGCCCCGATTTTCCCCGCTAAACGCCTCTCGCGCGAAAGAAGAGAGACGCGCGTTGCTTATCCGCGCCGAGTCGACTCCAAGTGGTGTTCGCGTTCGCACGATTTGCCCTTGGCAGACGGCGCTTACGAGCGAGCAAATCGTGTAGAGAACAAGCGAACTGTGCCGTTAGACGCGTACCGAAACGAACGATATATGTTATACACATCCTGCGTTCCGATTACAATAGCAGCTGCCTGCCTGTGTAACAACACGTTATTATGTTGCGTGCTAATGTTAATGTTTGTTCTCTCCCCCGCGTACAGTAGTTATGTATAGTTGATAATGTTACTAATTGTATAAGATTGATCGTCGCACAGAGTGCTCTCTTCAATGCGCGGATGTACGACTTTTCAGGGGGAATTCAGCGCGAATAATCGAAAGAGGTTCGTGCGTTTCTTCGTTGTATAATTTATTCGCTCCTAACACTCGCTTCTCTAACATCTCGCACTTCGTTCTCCTGAAAGCGGATATTGGTATTTTTCAAGTGAATCCTGCGAATATCTTCAGTTTCTTTTTTTCTACTCATTTCTACGTTGTATAATTTATCCGCTTCTAACACTCTCGGAGCAATCATCTCGCACTTCGAAAGCGCTGCGGATATTGATATTTATCAAGCGAACTCAGCATGGGAAGAGAATAATCGAAAGGTTCGTGTGAATGTCTTCAGTTCTTTTCACCCATTTCTACGTTATTTAATTTATTCGCTTCTAACTTCTCTCAGAGTAATCATCTCGCACTTGGTTCTCCCGAAAGCGCTGCGGATATTAATATCCGTCTGGGTATTAACGTTAATATGATCATTAGATAATTTTTTGATTAATAATAATAATATGTTAAATATAGTCGGATAGGTTGAAATGTTCGCGCGAACCTTTCCCATTATATCGCCGGACCTACGCCTCCGAAGTTACACCCACGTACCGAGACATACGCGCATATAACATGTATAAGTATACGAAAGGCGCGATTCGAGTAAAATTGTAATCGCGCACGCGTCACCGTCGGTCGCAGCACCTGATTTCGCAATTTCGCGTTTTACGTCGTTTCCGAAAATAAATTCTCTCCGTTTGGGATATTATTCGGAGATTGAAGTCTCGCGTTGGTATTTCCGCCATTGCTTTCGTCGAGGATGCTCCCCCGCTTGTTCGCGAGAATAATCTCCAAACAACGCCGTATGACAAGGAAATATCTCAGGTGACGATACGTCACAAGATCGACCATCGGCTGGTGATACCTACTGGGTTTCTCAACTGTCGTGGAGCTTCAAAAAAAAAAAGCACCAACTGTGCGATTAAAAATGATTCCCTTGCATGCCTCTGTGCTGAACTTGGAATCGAGCTTTTCGTAGTGTTTCTCCGATAGGCCTGAGAAGTGAGAAATAATCAAATTTTGCACGATACCTGCAGAGGATGAAATATTAGCTTTGCGGAGGCACAAATATCCACCTTTTCCGTAGAAATCGTTCTCACACGGGCGGCAACAGAGCGTACGGAGGGGAGCTTTCCCGAGAGCAACGGCTACCTGTCTATCTATTGAGACGCAAAACTGTCATACCCCAGTTAGTATTTATTAATAAGACCGTATGATACGTACCGGTCGTAGCAATTAGCATCGTCACCGATGCTTATTAAACTCAATGTAATGATTGCCGTTGAGCCGCATAAAACTCGTAACTCGAAGAAGCTCGGAATAAAATTTCACGCCGAGATCTTGCTGTGTGTAAAAAAAAAATTGTCCCGTATGATTTGTCCGGTACCAGTTGCAAAAATTGACCAAATTAAATGTTTGCGAACTAATCAATCGCGCGGTTACACGCGATTGATCCCACAATTTCACCTGTATGGATTACTCGATCATTACGAATTAACCACTTGTTCGATTTGTTGTAAGTTAAATATTACATGATTTTTTGTTAAGTACTACTGATTTAACTCTTACAGATTGATTATTGTGGATCGAGTACAAAAATAATGTAACTAATTATAATAAGTAGAAATAATTGATAATTACATTATAATAATTTACGAATGAAGGAGAATGCGGCAAGAATAAAGAACATTACGAAAATAAAATGTATGTGAAAATGTTACACAAATGTTTTCCCCATTCTACTTAATATTTTTGTTGAAACATCGAGTTAGATAGATCATTCCTCTATGAAGGTTTCGTTTCACTTGTGTGCGTACTCGTGCCTAAAGTGAAGTTACGAGATTTTTGCGGCTCCCCGTCGACAAGTATATCTACCTTTCTATTATTGGTGCAGAGGAAAGAGAGAAGAAAAGGAACACAGCGATTATCTACTCTTAAGCGAGTCACCCAGATTAAAAGGCTTTACTATCAGAGTACCCCTTTATCTAATGCAGTACACGAATCAACTCGTTGCTACATTTGAGAACTTATCGCTTTCTGAAGACTTATATTCTGTAGTGTAAATAGAACATGTATATATCGTACACACGTAATTAATAAAAGAAGGATATTCGAGAAAATTGTATAAACATGTGTTCTACGGAAAACTGCACAAAATCAAGTAACATTTCCCTGTGCCATTAACCGTCAATTTACTCGGCTTGTATCTTTCCAATACTCATTTAATTTTAACGTAAACTACCCTATATATGTAGAAAAAGTATATTAATTTAATAAGGTTAATATTAACCCCGCCGCTCGAATTTTTTTGATCGATTTTCATTCTTAATACGCGACAATTTAACGATTGGATGCTTCTAACATCTTGAAATTTAACACCACTATCGATTTTCTACTTTGAATAGATATTTTTTACGATACTAAGAAAACGTAGTGCACTAAACGTATATAAGATGCGAACGAAACAGCAGGGTTAGGAGCTTACGTTGAGAATAATCTTTTTTTAAACACTAATTTCATATTAATTTAATATTACTTTAATTTTAATCCAGCGCTCTTATAATATCCGATGTAAACAGATTTTTCCAAATGGAGAATTTGCTTGATCGGTTTTTCATACTCGATACGTTGCGTCGCGCAAGTTTCATAGAACTCTACTTTCTATGAAAGTGAACAAACTCTCTTACGATATTTCATATTTATTCTTATAAGAATAAATAAGAACAAATAATCTATATATTATTCTATCTTTAATGGTACATTTGTGCAAGACATCCTGAATTAATCCTTTTTGTTCTGTTATCGTTATGTAATACACGTTATCTATCCCCCCTCTCTGTCTCTCTCTCTATATGTATATATATATGCATCATATAAAACTATTTCTTTTCCTTTCTTTTCGGTATCTTACAGACAGCATGTATAAATATTCTATTAATGATAAAAACTATGTTCATGTGAAGTACAATTGAATAATACAACTTGGACATAAGTCGATGAATGAGGTACAAATTCGGCAAGTTACTGTCGGATCTCGAGAACTTCTATACTAACTGGCGCATGGATATCGTTAATTGCTATCCTAACGAATCTAATTGCTATCCCAACGAACGTCCAAACGAATAAAAACTCATTCTCTCAAGGTCGTATCGTCCTCCAGCGCCGTGTAAAGCTCAATATAATAATAGGTTTTCTCGAACCTCTCTTTCACTTTCTCACCTATATATAATTTCTTATCAATATTAAAAAGGCAGTTCTCGCCGTCACATATACTGTGGAATAGAATCATACACAAGTACACACAATATATACAGTTTCGAAATGTCCGCGAGTTCAAAATGCAGCTACACCGCTGATATCTTCGCACAATGAAGGAATTCATGAACGGAGACGACGCTCAGGTGTCCTCCACAGGATTGACGAAGAGCGCTGTCAGGGCGAATAGTAGGAACACGAATCCTCCAATAATGGTTACTGAAAAGTTCCGAGATTAGAAATACAAAATATAATTATATTTTTACCGTTAAATATAAAATTTATTTTAAATTGAATATAAAATATATATCGCGTGGTGTCATAAGGTAACCGATTTTTAACATTACCTGTCCTAACGGAAATTCTCTGTGCTATTATACGTCCTCCTAATACTGCTAAGCCTGTGCAAAAAGAATGGCCTAATATTCCACCCAGTATAACTCCATAGACATCCTGAAAATTAATATAATTACGGTTGAAAAATTATACATTTTAATATATTATCATTTTATCTCGTACAAAATTATATCTAATCTTACATATAAGACATTATCTGGCATTTAACAATCCATCTTATCTCAGTGTTTAAATTTAATATCTTATCTATCTTGTTTATATATATCATATGTATATATTAATTAATACTAATGTTGCAGTAAATATGCTATTTTACCTCTCTCGCCGCGAGGATAATAGTCGTTAGTTGAGAGCGATCGCCCCACTCCGCAAGGAAAGTTAGACTGAATGCTTGGAGAAATATCCTGGAGAGCAGCATGAGTGCACTGGTTTTTGTGGTTTTTCGTATAACGCCCGTCTCGGGATCTTGAACCAAGGTACTAGCTGTCTCCTTTTCGTACTGAAAGTGATAACATTTAATTATCATTTAACTCCTGTAAAAATGGCATTATTTGAACATACGACTTTTTTCTCGTACATTTTGAATATATTTTAATTGTATTAACATACTTATTTTCTAGTATTTTTATAATTCCCTGTAATAATTGTATACAATACAAATTTTTTAATATAATAGAAGTATATAAAGATAAAAATAAAGTGAAAAATAATACATACACATATATATATAAACGTCGTGCTATATCTTCAAGATTTACAAATTTTACAAAACACTGATAGATTGATCGATGACCGATAGATTGAAGTACAAAACACTGATAAGAATTCACTTCAAACATACCTCATCCTCTCTTTTTCTTAAATCTGATTGGACCTCCTCTAACTCTTCTTGCGCCTCTGTTGACGACATGTAGTATCCATCTCGTAGCATTTTCAATCCAAACAGGGCAAAGAGCAAAGTGGAGATGTAATAGGTGTACGCACGAGGAATTATTGTAGCTGCATATCCAAACACGACTGTAAATAGAATAAAATACATTGCTGTAGAAATCGTGATGTCAGGAAAATTATTAGATACATTAATTTTAGCACAAATCGTCTATTTTAACTCTTATTCAAGCAAGCAGGATGTGCTGTTTTTAAAAGATGGTTCTCTTGTGTATCAAATATAAGTTATATTCATGACGTACCTGAAATATAATGATTCTGTTTGTTTTCATAATGTAATTGAACAAAATTTGCATTTACTACATTTTCATTACTTAAGCATTTAGTAAATTTTGCTTGTTTGTGGATAATTAAACTTGATAATTATACTAATAATTTATAATTGAATTGTTCTCACGTAACAAGTATACTTAGATATTAGTGAGTTCGAGATAATTATTACAAATTACTGTCGCAATAATCTTTGTGTAAAATTAATCATGCTCCTGATGTATATTGATACCTGATAGAATAGTCATCAGTGCGAGTGCACCGATGGCTCCAACAAATACTGTCAATCTTGGATGCTTCATTGCCATAATGGCAGCAATAAAGAAAGTTTTATCACCCAACTCTGATACCACGATGACCGATAAGGAAGCTATAAATGCGTGTAAAAAATCTAACTTGTCTTCTGGCTTCTCTGATACAAATTCCTCCCCTCTCTGAAAAAAATTTTTAAGTTAGAAAATTATTCAGTTGTTTGTTTCTAGTACTTGAATGTCTAAACTGAAAGCTTGAATTTTTTTAAATTTTCGTTCAGACTAAAATAAAACTAAATCTGAATATTTTTGCAAAACATATTTTAAGATCTGAAAATCTAGGTTTGGAAATGTCAAAATCCTTTTGGCATTTTCTCCTAAGAATTGTTTAATTTTAGAAACATCGAGAACTTCTTAACAACTTTTATAATATTAAAAAATTCAAATTTAAAAGCTTTTAAAATTTTTTTGACATCTATAAGGTTTTGAAGAAACATTTTGACATTTTTCAAATGTCTTTTGCATACATCAGAGAACATAAATTAAATTTATTTCTATACGGAGCAAAGGGAAAACTAAGAATTTTTTTATACTGTGACCTAGAATAGAGTCACGAGATTTGACGGAAATATCGAGGACTGTTATAGAACTCACCGTTGTAGTCACAACTAATTGAACTTTTTCGTTGTAACGCAATTCGATTTCGCCGGCAACGGTCGAGACATAAATCAAGACCAAAGAACCGGCGTAGATTAAACTTTCGGGCCACATTGTACGGACGCGGTTGGAAGAGTTCATCGTTTATTATTACGGCTATTGTGCCGAGCGTCGTTCACTGCGAGATAACCTCAAAAAAACCAGCCTCCGCACAGTATCTATTGGCACACCGAAACCGCCATACTGTGTTTCCGTGCGTGACCGTTCGTGATAAGGTTATGTCACGTTGTCAGCGTGAAACACTACATATCTCTTCGCGACTCAGTCGAAACTGACCGATAACTATCGATTCCTCGAAGTGCCACTACAGGAACTATTTGGCGCCATCTAGCGGTGTCCCGGAAAGACCTGCTAAGCACAGCGTGGTTTAAATCTTGGCTATAAAAGGGTTCGCGTCTGAAGCAAGTATGATCTCTCTAGTTCGAGTCTCCGCTACGAGTCGCCACCGTTTCTATCGCTAAATCGAGCGATAACTCGACGACAAATTAGAAAATATTTTTCATCTTCAAATAGCACGGTTCAACAACGGATTAGACGGATCTTTATTCACGAGGATATTTCAATGGGAACTAATTTCTAAGATACTTCGATCTTCGTCGATAAATGGGAATTGTTCCTGACGCTCTTTTGTTATAAAAAAATATACAAATTTAGAATTCTCGAGCATGCATCCAAAAAAAAACTCAAAAATGACGCAAAGAACGCAAGTGTGTTTTTCCTATTTTATTCTCATTATATTTTATATTTCTTGAAATCCAAACACATCTATTTGTCATCTATCGACGAAATGATATATAATAAATATCCGCATTATATCCTAAAATTAACAAAATATCTTTCCTTTGTTTTTTTTCTTGTTGTCTCTGCCTTGGTCTAAAGTATGCAATATTTTTTTTTCTCTTTTAGAAGCTTTTCTTCTTCCAAAGACATCTTTTATAAATTTAAATGCAGCATCCGTCGTAACAACAACCAACCTTAGCCAATAGTTTACATATATCCGTTATTGTTATTAATATTATTACTATTATTATTATTATTATTATTATTACTCGAGAAAGACGTTGCACAAAGCGGATAAATCAAGTGTGTGTGAACGATAATTATATCGATTATACAAGCCCTCAGATCAGCGCGTCTGTCATACGTCAAGTCGCGTTAGCGAGAACATTGAGTGAAGTGATGAAGAAAGAGAGAGAGAAAAGAAAACACGCAAGCGTGCCCGGGATATACATTGTTCCCTCGCCGTGAAGTAACTTGCTTGCGAGAAACCGAAAGAGCGGAAAATAAATGAACAGGCGGCAAGACACATCGCGTCCGTTAAACTTGATACTTGGGATTAATCACATCATTCTACGGAACTATGTTTCAAGCAGAAATCGATAACAATGTAATCTCGCTGAGCTCAGATTTGGATACCGGGATGATATACGATATCGTTGACCCTCCCCTTATCTTCAAAGCGATGACGCGCAATCGTCGAGTGAATGAAACGCAACGCTCGATATCAGGCTTCTTTCTTTGCACGCCTACAACGCCGGTGACTCTAACTCGCCGAAATTACAGAGCTTTCGATCCACGATTTCGAGTGGGCTAACAGTACGGCCTAAAGATCATCGATAACCTTTATCCCTAGTAATTTACATCCGATTCTATACAATACAGCGGTGTACATACGTGAACTGTGACCTAGAAGAGCTTCCGACTATTCGCTTAAAGATTTTCTACGGATCGAACTGTTCCTCTCGTTAACAAAGCGTGACTCACGACTACAACTTTAACGACAGATTCTCTCCGAGCAATGGAGACGTTTATTTCCGGATCGCCTGAAATCCATATTTCCGAGAGTCGTGGATTATGTTAATAAGTTATGAAGAAGATAATTTTATATGCGTTTTGAAAAAAAAAAAAAAAAACGCAAGTTACAAACCTGGAAAGCTTTGTAATATACAATTCTCTTTTATAGATTTGTAGGACGATCTGAAAATAAGCTCTTCTATCTGGAATCGATTTATTACCCCCTGTAAAAATGTCGAGAGATATTGAAACTTACAATTTTTTATATTATACATATCTGCGCAATTAATCTTTAACACGTTAACTGCCATGCTGACTTTCACATATTGCTTTAAATTTCAAATTTTGAAAGTTACTACAGTAAACACATTTCGTGTAACGTACATATTTATTACTTGGTTATAATAGCTCCTTATTTCGCTACATATTTAATTCACGAGGCGCAATTAGTTACGCTTTACGTGTGAATTAACGAGACGTGGCGAAAGCATAGTGCCGGTCACCGATGACCTCGTTGGTCGACGTGAAATTAAATAAATTTCTACAGAAACAGTCTATTTGAAATTCATCCGAGAGCTTGGCACACGGTTTTTTCTTACAAATTCTTTCCTCTGAAAAATTTAGCTCGCGAACAATTCCCTTGTTTTAATCGTTAGCGATTCTCCGAATCGTTCTTTTTATACTTCGATATTTTGCTTAGGAAAATTTATCCGAGAATCTGCCGTTAAAATTAAAGCGACAAGTTATGGTACACTCTGTATATATCCTTCATTATAGAAATTTAGTACCGCGCATTTTGCGTTTTCTTTTTCTCCATTCGATAGCGACTCCATATAGCGTATCGTGAGCAAGATCTGGCCGAAAGGCATAAATACAGATAACGGAAATTAAATTTAGCCAGGCAGTTGAGCCGAGGCTCCGGAGATTCGTCGTTGTGATTATTATATACGTACGGAATCGTAACGTCAGAAGCGAGAGAACCGGACGCATTCTATCCTCAATAGATTCTATTCCCATTATCTCCAATTATTTACTTTAACGTTACAGTCTTCTATTACGTCAATGTAAATTTTATTTAAAAAATCACAAGAAATTTTTTATATCCACACATTTTTTATTTCCGAAATCTGTTTTCTCTAATTTATTATAAATTTGTTTCACAGTAACTTATTTGATTTTCACATAAACTTATAAAAAATAAATTAACAAGAACCTTGAAAGATTAAAAAAAAAAACCTACAAAAGCAACGAACAATGAATGAAATAAATATTTTAGGATTTTTATCTTATTATTTCTTCACGCAATATCTGTTTTCACGATTGACTCATTTGGTCTTTCACAAGAAGCACTTATACAAGAGAAGCTTACGTAATTTGAAATTAATATAATATGCTCAACATATCAATGTTAAGAAACTAATTTTTACTTATCATTTTGAACAGCAATTTCTCGTACACCACTTCTTGACTCGACAGGTGTATGTTTGATTATGTGAGCACAAAGAATATCTCGTTTGGAATGGCCGCCACCTTTTTACATTTTAATCATGCGATAAAAAGTACTTTCTTTTTACGGAATCTTTTTACCTGATTTTAATTGTCCAACGATTAAAAAGCAAGAATTTGTTGTTCCATAAATCCAAGAAAGCTTGTTCTACCATCAAGCAAATGAGGGAATACGCGACCATCGTAAAACGGACGTCCGATATAGCGAAGATACAACAATATCGAAAGGAAACGTTGTCCGCACACGATTTCTCACTTCTGACGTTACAATTCGCAACGTTCGCTTCAAAATAGCCGACGAAAAGAGAAGACGATTCTCGGCCGTTTACAACCTAAACGTACGATCGACCTCGCTGTTGCGCGTGCTAGCTGCTCGAAATCGCTATTTCTAAAGCACTCTAACGACAATAAAGAATTCACGTCTCGCGCTCCAGACGTGGAAATGAAAAAAAGGAAGGAAAGGAAAGTGAGTTGCCTCACACACACAGACGTTTGCGAGGATCGATACGTGTCCCCTGTGTTTTCTTTCTTTTTCTTTTTTTTCTTTTACGCGCGGTATTATCGTAAAATATAGAAATTTGTAGAAATCACTATGGCTAAGTCAGTTAAGTAGACATCTGGCGCGATCCGATGTTGTTCGTGCGAGTCAAGGTAGAGTGTAACGGACGTACGGCACCTCGACATCGTTCCCGTCCTCGTCGTTACAGCACAGCTCGAACACGAGGGCGCGCACGTGCGGCTCGAGCTTCTTCTTCGACACTTTCTTCACCACTTCGGACATCAGCAGGCCCATGCGCTCCTGACACTTCGGTTTCGCCATGAAGAACGAGTAGAGCATGCAGATGCCCTGCGATAGCATCGTGACCTCGAGATTGTGGCGCTCCTTGAAGTAGTCGAGGAACTCCTTGAGCGTAAGCTCGCCCTTCACCTCGAAGCGATCCCACAGTGTCCATTCGATGTCGTAGTACTTGAGCTTAGGTGCGGCGATCGGCTCGCTGAAGCCGAAGAACGGTAGCGCCAGGTTCACGAAGCCGTTCTTGTAGAGGGCGAGGTCACGCACGCCGCGCGCCAGCTTGTACAACTCCAGACAGACGAGACCGGCCACCACGGACGTCGTGGTGGCGATCGCCGGTATGATCTTACCGGCGATCAGTTTGCTCTTGTGCCGATCGGCCGGCGGAATTTTGTAATTGGTCGCGCGCAGATTCGACGCAGCGACGATGAAGTCGATGTGGAAATTGGTGTCGTCGTCCTTCTCAAACTCTTGCGGATAGATAGCCAGCCCGTTCAGCTCCTCCACCTTCGGCAGTTCCTCTTGCAATTGCGCCAGCCGCTCGTGGTCGATATTACCGCTGCCGTTCGACACTTGTACCTGCACACAGAGAGATTCCTCCTTGATTTGCTCTTGATCAAACGTTTCATATTAGCTTGAAGTCTCTTTGAAGACCCGTTTCAGAATAACTTGCTTGATTCTTACGAGAAAAACTTACAAGGGTAAATTTAGCAAGAACTTCGCGAGGTTGAAAATCTTTTATATTACACGTTTCCTTACAATATCTCTATTCTAGTTTTGAAAAGTTAAGGCTAATAGTTCCCCCTCCCCCCCCGAGAAAGACTTTTATTGGTATCTTTTAGATAAGGTGAGATATATTTCGAGATCCATTCACGCAAGTTCTTCTTGATTACGAATATCTTTAACGAACGTTAACACGGCTTTCGCAGATTCTTCCGAAGTTCGCCAGATTTGTGAAGCGATTTCGGACAACACCCGACTCGAAGCTAATCGTTTTGAAAGGTCTCGTTACCTGTGAGTCCGTCTCGGCTATCTTGACGCCGGATTTCGGTGTGAAGTCGGGCACCTTCACATTGGCTAAGATGCCGACGATTTCTTCCCTGTCGCGATTGATGGGGATCCCGTAGACTTTGGCTTTGAGATTCGCGCCGGCAACGATGTAATCTATGTGCAGGGGATCGTTGACGTCGAAGACCAACGGGTCCGGGCAGCGTTTCGGGCCGGACCAGAAGGGCTGGCCGCTCGAGGTCACCTGGTCCGGCGGGAAATTGAACAACAGTTGACGGATCTGATTGCTGTACTGCTCCTGCCAATGGCAACGCGCCCACTCGACACACTCGGCAAACGTGGTAGGTCGCTCGTCCACCAGCGCCGTTTTCACGGACTCCAATACTTCGAGCGGCTGTACGCCGGGCAGCTTGAGCGTCCGCTCGACGAACTGCGAATCCGTGATGTACTGCGCGGCGTTCTCGGCCGCTTGACGGAACAGACCCTCGAAGCTGTCGCGCGCCCATTGCAGCGTATGCTCGATCGCGTTTGGGAAATTCTTCAGCGTACAGATCGGTATGCTCTTCTCCGGCGGGTCTTGCGACGAGCTGTACGACTCGGTGAGGAACGGCACCACCACCTGGGTGTTGCCCTTGGTGCCGAGAGTGCCGGACTCGAGGAGGGGCTTGCGATAGTAGACGCAACGGCGATCCATGTATATGCGCGCGTTCACGTTGTCCAGAGCGTTCGCGACGCCGTCCAGCGCCTCGAAGAAGTCGTCGTTGTAGATCTTCTCCGTCTCCGGGCACACGCGGTTCTCGTGGGCGATCACCTTCATATCCGGATTCATGCCCTTGATCACGCGCGCCGCCGTCGACGATTTCGACCGTTGAACGTCGGAAGGCCGGAAGAGGAACTGCCGATTCAGGTTGGACTTCTCGATCAGGTCCATGTCCGTCACCGTCACGCTGCCGCTTTCCGCGCCTACGCCGATCATGGCGAAGTTCTTCAGTAGCTCGCAACCGATCGCCCCCGCGCCCACAACGAAGTACTTCAGGTCGCCGATCTTGGACTGGAACTTCCGGCCGAAAACGGCCACCTGAAGATAAAACATGTGTTATGAATCGTCGAATAGCTAGAGAGAGAGAGAGAGAGAGATTTAATATCGATAATTATCCGGTCACACAGATACTTCAGTCGGGATAATCTCATTAATTGCTAAAATAATCGTGTGCGGATAATAATATTAGTTTCGCAGAAGTTACACCAACTCTCTTCGGCGAAGTTTCATTCATCATTATCATCGTACCTGAGAATCGTAACGAGATCCTGTGGGACAGCAATCCTCCTCGGTAAGCTCCGAACGATCGGCAGGCAGGCACTCCAACGCGTCGAAGTATAACCATTGGTATATAGGATGGAACTTGCCGGAGCAGGCTTTCATCACCTCCTGGGCTACGATACCGCCGATCGTGGCATTCATGGGGTTTAAGTCGCCGGCCGACACCTTGGCGAAGATGCCTAGCAGTTCGTCGTTGATCTCCATCTCGAAGCCGTATGTCTCTTTGACCGTGTTGGCAATCGCGACAAACTCGTCGGCATCCTCCTGGTTCCAGGGCCGCGGCAACGTGCCTTTGGCAGACTCGTACTGATTCAACGTCAGGAAGGCCAGATGTAACTGTTCCGGATAATCGAACTTGCCGAAGTCCGTGATAAGGAACTCGGGTTTCTTCAATGCGTCCTCCAGCGGCGTAAAGCGCAGGGTCTTCGGCATCTTCACCTGCGTCACGATGCCACCGCGAACGTACTCGGAGAAGCTGTAATTATAACGAATCAATTCGTTAAATATCAACTTTTAGAACTCAAAATATAATTGTAATCGTCTCACCTGGCGGTGTCGCCAATGCTAAAGGTGTACGGTCCCAGCACCTTGATCTTAATCGGCTCACAACCGTTCAACTCAGTCATGCCCTGCACTTCGGAGAATGTGACGTAATCGCCATCCTCCATGCCGTGACGTGTGTCGTCCAAACATGTGACGACTCCTTCGCTGTCGTGGGATATACTGGCGACCATCGCACTGACCGGCGGCTCGCCATTGGTATCCACAACCGTGAATGTCTCGCCGAAATCGCAGAACACCTGAGAGAAGAGGCCGCGGGTGTCGGCGATGATCAGGGCGATGTCGTTGGCCCGAGTGATCTGCGAGATGCGCAGCTGCTCCGAGAGCGACGTCTCCGTCAGTACCACGACTTTGAACTGCTGAATGTATGAATCGTTCAATGGTCCGGAGTAATGGCGAGTTGGCACGTAGTTGTTCAACTTCGACAGCCGCTGGCAGCATGCGGCTGCGCGATTTTCATCTGAAAAAAAAAAACATTAAAACAAACGTTAGTGATATTCAGCATCAATCTGAATAACCATTTCTATCGATTAATTGACATCAATTAATCAGTTAATCAATTTCTAATAATTAAATAAATATATAATAAGCGATAAAAAGTTAAGAATTTCAAACCCTGTTATTCTTCAATTTATTTGTATTTTTCTTCAGCCCGATTATTTTAACTTTATTTATCTATTTTTTTATTTTGATTAGTTACTTGAGCAAGTCTACTATTTTACATCAAATATAAATATATTTTACATCAAATCTTTTTGTCACACATACCGAATGGCATCGTTTAATAGATGCGAGATTTCAGGATAACTTGTTATTGGCTCAACATTTTGCGAGAAATCTTTTCATGATGACTTGCATTAACCCTTTGGGTACATATGACGAGTGAGACTCGTCATCTGCTTACTTGGGCATAAAATGTATTACTTTTACATATTAATCCATATAGCGACAAATTAAATCCGTCCCATGGGCATAAAAATCTTCAAATAATTCAGTACTCAAAGGGTTAATGGTATGCAATCAACAGTTTTATACCTTACTTTCAATTAGTATGATAAACGACAGCGAGTGGATGGTGCAATAAAATTAAAATTCATGTAATGATGGCAGCAACTACGCTTTATCTCGATAGGAATCTTATCATCTTAGAGATTATCCTTCGTGACTTTATCATTTTCAAAGTAAAAGCAAGCCTCTTATATCATTTAGATAAATCTCCATTGATCAAAGAACAATAATCTCATCTGTAGTGAGCTGTAAATCAATAACTCCTCATATATGATTTTTAAGTTACATATACATCTATATTCTTTAGAAAGCAGAAAATAAGGCTGAAACAATTAAACTGAATGAAACGTTCGCGTGTCACTCTCAGACGGATTTCGCGCGTTTACGTGTTTTTCTCGCAGTTTCTGTTTTTTCCTCTCTTTGTCCCTCACCTACATCCGACCGCGTGAGATAGAACTGCGAGCCCAGGTCGGCTAGTTTGCAGACAGCATCGTCATGCAGGGTGACCGACTTAACACCACCTAGGATGACGTTCTTGGCTATTTCGACGCCGAGGCCACCCAGGCCCGAGATGAGTACGTCTGAAGAAGCCATGCGGCGCATGGCGTCGTGACCGAGGACATAGAGCTGCCGTGAGTAAAGGCCCTCGTCGATCTCCGCCGGGCCGCCGGCACGTGACACAGTACTGGAGCCGCTACTCGTGGAGCCGTTCGCCTTCGCCATGTCCGCGTTCGTCGTCAGCGGCTGCTCGTCGTCGGTACTTCCCGTCGTGCTGGCAGCAGCAACGCGTCGCTTCTTGGCTGGGGGATCAACGGAGCTCTCCGCCACCTCAGCACTAGACATCGGACTTCACGGAGTCACGCCGTCGATTACGTGTGCCCGTCGATTGTTTCCCCTGATTGTTCCGTTCTCTTCGCGCTTTCTTTCTCTCTTCCTTTCCCTCCCTTTCCGTCTCACTCACTCTCACACACACACTCTCTCTCTCTCTCTCTTTCTTTCTCTCACGCTCTCCCTCTATCGCCCGCTCTCACTCTTCTCCTCTTCGCCTCTCCTTTTCCTCCTTTCTCTTGACTCTGCCGTCAGCTACTTCACCGACGCCGCGCACACGGCTTGACCACGTAGCTGCACCTCGGCTACGCCGACGGCAACGACGAAGACACCAGAAGACAGATCAGCACGGTGACGCGCACGGACGATTTCACACGTTCGTTGTTGCCGCACGTCGCCTCACGTCCTGCCGCCTCCCCTCCTCCTCACCGTCGTCCGATTCTCCTTCTCCCACCTTCGCCACCGCCGCAATCGCCTTTGTGTTCTATTATTCACGAGCCGTCTCTCTTCTGCTTTCACGTATCCGCCCGGAGACCACCGCCGCCACTGTCACCTACGAACCTTCTCGTAGAACGTTAATGACGCTATCGAGAAGCACACCATTCGAGGATGACTATTCGACGTATACCGACGCTGCCACGCTCCTCACCCCTTTCGCCCTCTCGCGCGCTCTTTTCTTCGCTGTTGCCACACGCGACTTCGGGCGGGTTCGCCAGCTCGTTCGTGATCGACTTTACGTCTGTTCCTCTCAAGTGCACTCGCTACACTCTCTATCTCTCTCTCTCCCCCCCTCTCTCGACCCTCTATTCTCTCTTTTTTCCTCTACTGTCTTCGCGGGTGCTTATTTCAGGTGCCAAAAGTGTAACACGATGCGGTTAAACGGACAAGCTTCTGATTGGTTGCTTGTTACTTGACGCTCGTCATGAATAATCCAAATTGTAGAGTTGGTAATTATAGATTGGTCCTGTATATCCGATGCACGAGCCTCGACGTCCAATAGGAAAACATGATATCTGTTTCAATTTTTAATTGATTATCTGAACTGTTTTCCGATCTTTTTATGTTTTTCTCTCTTCCACCAACCGTATATATTTATTTTCTTTTAAGCGCTGGCAATGCAACTTTAAACAGAAATAAGTGCGTTCAGAAAATAACCGTTGTGGTACTAATGATAATTGCTGTTTCTGATTGAGGTATATTTTTAGATTCCTTATAGATCCAGAAGAATATTCCAATACTCACTCGTCCATTGTGTTTTCTCAATGTAACCTATGAAAAACAGATCTTTGTTCCCTTGAAAAGCCAGCTAGTGACATTTTTGTCTCTAGAAAACATATTCTTTCATACATCGATACTGCTAGAAATATTGGACGCAGTTTTTATTTTTTATAACATGTCTCCACACACATTAATATCAAAATATAAATATAATCACTCAATTTCATTTACATAGAAATTCAATTTCTAATTTCAACGATCAAGAGCTCCAATCTTCGAACCAATCAGAAGGTTTCGTTGCGACGACGAATTAAGAATGTACCTTTAAGCGGTTTGAATATTCCTCGAGCGCGAATCCATACGATCAACAAGAAAAACATACCTGCCATTTTATCTGAGATTGTATCCACCATTTAAGAATGCGTAAGTGAAATGATATATTCTAAATCTAAGGAACATAGGAGAAATAAAACATTTCAACTTATTACATACGTGGGCAGTCCGATAAGTACTTAGCCTACAAAAGAAAAACGAAAATTTTGGAAAAGTGGCGATTTATTTCTCAACATAGTCTCCTTTTAGCTCGATACACTTGACCCAGCGATGCTCCAACTTCTTTAACCCNAACGTTTTCTCGAAGTCTGCAAAATAGGCTTCCGTGGCAGCGATGACCTCCTCATTCGGCCAAATTGGTTGAATTGGACTATGAATTGCTGCCCCATCCATCGTATTCTCCAGATTTGGCCCCGTGCGACTTTTTTCTGTTTCCAAACTTGAAAAAGTCACTCGCCAGGCAGAAATTTGAGTCGAATGAGGAGGTCATCGCCGCTACGGAGGTCTTTGCAGACTTCGAGAAAACGTATTTTTCAGATGGGTTAAAGAAGTTGGAGCATCGCTGGGTCAAGTGTATCGAGCTAAAAGGAGACTATGTTGAGAAATAAATCGCCACTTTTCCAAAATTTTCGTTTTTCTTTTGTAGGCTAAGTACTTATCGGACCGCCCTCGTACAAACGGGCATAATATATTAATATATATTTATCGCTCGCTGTTTGTTCTCGCTGTTCACTTTTGCTACGCTAATTTATATTTTAATGGCGCGTATTCCCACTCCGCATGACGTCACTCATTTAATTCGCAGATCGCGCTGAAAATCTGCGTGCGACTCAAAACAAGAGCGAGTATTGTGAGACGTTCATAACCTCGAAATGGCCAAGTTGGTCAGGTCAAACCGGGAATATAACCGGAGGGCGGCGATTGTTGAGAGTCTTCGCACCGGCAAGACGCCGAGCGAAATAATCAAGTTTTTCAGGTACCCTAGGTCGACGGTGTACGATGTTGCCCAGAGATACGCGGCCTCGGAGAAGTTTGAGGAAGGCTCCTTCACCGCGGTAAGAAAGATCCAAGTAAGGGAGAAGGCGACAAGGACTCCGGAACTTATTCGAAGTACCCAGGACCTCATTTTGGAAAACCCCGGGACCTCGTTGAGGAAATTGGCGGCTATTTTGGGGGTAAGCGAAACCACCGTCCGTCGGATCGCACAAGAGGATCTCAGGTACACGTCCTACGTCCTCAAGGTCCGCCAGGTGCTCACCAAGGTTGCCAAGCTCAAGAGACTTGCCTGCTGCAACTTGCTGTTGTGTTCGGTAAGACACGAAGCTGCTGACTGCCTCAAGTTTTTCTCCGACGAGAAGATCTTTACTGTGGATGCCAAGAGGAACGACTGTTGGCTCGCCTACGACCCCAAGGACGTCCCTGTGGTGGACAAAACTGAGATTCCGGACAATGTCCATGTCCTAAGTGTCGTCTCGAGTGAGGGTGACGTCATGCCGCCGCACTTCTTCCAGAAGGAGGAAACAGTCACGGAGGAGATCTATTTGAAGATCGTAAGGACAGTGGTAAAGCCTTGGATGGTAGCCGTGGCCTCAGGGAGACAGTATATCTTCCAACAAGGCGGCGCATCCACTCACACGAGTCATTTGGTACAGAACTGGCTTTCCGACAATGTCGACATGTTCTGGTCCAAGGACTTCTGGCCTCCCAATAGTCCCGACCTGAACCCTCTCGACTACTACGTGTGGGGTGTAATCGAGAGGGTTACCAACAGGTCCAAGTACCCCGATGTGGTCTCCCTCCAGGTCGCCATCGAGGCAGCGTTTACAGCCCTGGACCGGGCCCAATTGAAGATGGCGTGTTCGCGTTTTAGGACCAGGATCGAGGCGGTGATCGAGGCGAAGGGCGGCTACATCGAGTGAGAGGACTCAGTAAGGATCCCTTAAATTCACTATTAAAGGGAGGAGATTGACTAATTTAATGTAAATTTCTAATCGGTGGTCCAGTGGGAAAACTCTTGGCACCGGCCGATTTGAATGGATGTGTGCTATCGCAGCCGTGCGCTAACGGGATTAAAGCATTGAAGCATTTCTTTACGTCTTTAATATTGGCTCTGATAAACGACTTTTCCAATAAACCGTCTTCATGCCCGGATTCTAACGGCGCACTCTGTATATTTTGTACAACTCATCTTTCCTCTTTTGGAATCTTCGACGAAGACATACAAACTAAGAAAATTGCATTAGACTTTACTTGACAGGTGTATCGAAGTATATATTACAATTAAGATTAGGTAATATCATATATGACTCAACAACGACATAAAACCGTTAAGTCGACGACGACTCATTCGTTCTTGCTCTTTTTGCACATTCAGCTAAATGTAGCTGGTCGATGCTCAAGTTGAAGCAATCGCGTTTTACGCGATCTTCGTCTGAAGTAAATGAAACTTAAATAGAATCAAGCTGCCACACTTAAAACTAAAAGTATGTTTAGAATACGCCTCCATTGTTCATATATCTCGCTCTAAAAATGTCCGTCTTCGTCATCGATAGAAACTGGGCTGCCGAATGCTCTGTGCTCATCCTTGACTTTATCGGCATTCTTCCTGCCGTTACCGCTGCCGCTTCGAGAGGATTTCTGCTTTCGCAATGGTTCCAGCGTCTCAAAGGATAATGTGTGTGACGATATCGGCGGAAAGGGTGCGGTAGGGGCTACTGAATCCGCGGTGTTGGGGGTGGAATTAGCACCTTCCTCCAAGGATCCACTCAGAATCGAATCGGGTGATCCATTGTTGGACGACTGCTCGACCAGCGTCATAGTATTGGTAGTGGTGTCGGTTGTGATCGTGGTTGTGATAATAGTGCCTGTGGTATCATCTGCAGCAGGCTCATTCGATCTTGACGGTGGAGGCTTATACTCCTCAGGAACTGTCGAGGTGCGTCGCACTGGTGTCTTTCTCTGACTGTCACCGTATATGACTTCGGTTAGTTTAGTTGATTTTGTTCAAAATCGAAACGAATAAGCGACGAGCATCAAATGTGATACCTTCGGGAGCGACAAACGTGTCTCGCTTGAGATAAAATTCGGACCAGACATTCCTATCCTTTTTGAGTGACAGGATGATATCGATTTAGGTCTCGTTCGTATTGAAATTTTTCGAATATAGAGACACCTAGTCGCTTAAGTGCCACATTTGATGCAATTTAATATGATCATTTAATGTGAATTATTATATTCACGAGAGAAGAGAGTGAGAATATAGTCTTGAGTCTTCACGAAAAAGTTAGAAAAAAAGTACATTTATATATAATTGTATGTATATTAATATATAAAATATATAAGAAATGAAAAATAATAAAAAGTTTATACAGGGACTATTCGTTAAGAAGGTTGCTTACTTGTTAACATCTTCGGGCGAAATTCTCTGTTCCGGACTGATCATAGGTCGATTGCTGTTGTCCCATGAATTGTGACGACGATGGCTGCTCTTGTCTTTATAAGCTTCGGCAATGTTGTTGTAACTACCGACAATTCTGCGTTTGTCAAGCTCCTTTAGCACCTTTTCCGGCATACTGCCAGCTGATCTGTACAGTGCACTGTTCATTGTATGCTGCATGAACAAAACAATGCATTAGTAATATGAAATGGCGAGACATAAGAACAATATATAAAATAGGACAAATAAAATTAAAGAATGTTGCTTAATTGTTACAAATAAAACGATATAGAAATATATTTATTTTTATAACAATTATTATGTCGTGTTGAATACTTGTAAATACATATATATGGCGATCCTCCTAAAATGATCGCAAAATCTTTTTTCATTTCTATTAACCCTTTGCACTCGAGGGCTCCGGAGCGGAGCCATTTAAAATTTGTCTTCAAACTCGAAGGCTCCGCTATGGAGACAATGCAAATAGCAAAAGTGGAATATCCTATACACAATAGTTTTTACGATTTGTCTTTGTCCTTATTTTATGAACTGAAAGTTATTTGCATTGTCTCCATAACGGAGTCCTCGAGTTTGAAGACAAATTTTAAATGACTCCGCTCCGGAGCCCTCGAGTGCAAAGGGTTAATATTTTATGATTCATTAAACGTCAATAAAATATATAATTTTCTATATATAAGCTATCATCTATATAAATTATCGTTGTATGTTCCAAGTGGCGGAAATGTGATCTTACCCTCGAGAAGGAATACACCGGGCTAGGAGCTGCATTCGGATTGGTCCAGACGTTCGTTGCACCAGGTACGTCTTCGTTATTATCGTTTAATAATTCCGCCGAATACGAAGGTCTTGCTGGTATTATAGGTGAACGACAACATACTCTAAGTAGAACAAAATATAAAATATAATGATAATACGTATTACAATTATATAATACATATTAAATATAAGATACAAAATGCAAAACATAAACGAATTGTGCATTTTAACTTTTACATTTGCGTCTGAGTAATCGCAGAATTTTTAACAAATGCTGTTGTGAATGCTTACGAGTTCACGTCCTCGAGTTTCTTTAATAGTCTTTCGTTTTCTCGGCAAACGAGTTCCTGGTCCCGTATCACTTGGTCCCTCGTAGCGTAGAGTTCTGCATTCTCGCGACGTAGCGCCTCGTTTTCGATGATGTACGCCTGAATCAGTTGGCTGAGCTCCGAGCTCTCCATTTCGGCCAACTTTTCGAGATCCACCGGTGGTGGTGTCAGGGATATTAACCGGTCATCTGCAAAGTAAAGTTCCATAAGTAATCGATAAGAATAGCAGAACGCGGGAGAATAAATGTGTACTCATTCTTTATTCTCCTACAAAGAAAAGGATAACCGATTTGAAACTTGGTTTGTGAAATCAAATGTTCAATATTTTTAATTAAAAATTTGAATAAGAATTTTTTATTTTGGTTCTAAAATGATTAAATAATCATTTTTGTTCTTCTGTTCTTCAATGTATCGCTAATTCTTCTCAATCCATCACTTTTTGCACAAAAGATCTCGTATTATTATTAAATAAATGGCTGATATAAATCATACTTTTGGATTCGCTGCGCAGCTCATTTTGAGCCTCATTGCTGAGATTTAGAGCAATCTTCAGGTGATCGTTCTCAGTCTGAAGAGCCCCGACTTCTCGTTTTAAGCTGAGGATCAGAGCTTCGCGTGGATCCTGAAAATTACAGTTATTAATTTTATATATTTATTTATTTATTTTTCTTGAAAATCAAAATTTGCAAGTAAACTTATATATTTGTACTCACCATTACTACAATAGGTTTCGTGAAGATCTTCTTGGCTCTCGCGGCATATCTCAAAGTGTTTAAAGTCTCACTGGCATTCGAACGAGCTGGCGAAATACAAGCGATCTAGAAACAATCATAACAATAACAATATCTGTACAATTCCATGGATAAGAATTTTTTAATAATAATTTTTCACTATTATAATACAACAACATTATCTAATATAAAAATTCATTTATTATACTTCCGCAAAATTACTCTAAATTATCCTTCTTAATTTTATATATATGTCTTTATTTTGTTATTTTTATCAATTTTTCAAGATTTGAGAACTCTATTTTTATACATCTTTATACATTTTTATAGATATTTAACTTCTCATTCCAATTATTTCTCTGATCCATTTTCACCTTTTCTATTCCTTTTAATCTTTTTAATCTTCTCCAGGACATTAACAACCCAACTTGTAATTTCAGTAATCCGTTTATGGCCGTAATATATTAACGTTTATCGTGTAAATAATGCAGACGTTTTCACGGAAGGGCTATCGCGAGACCAACCGCTGCGTTTAAAAGCCGTCACAACAGTCACGCTTATCTATTTACCATCAACGTAACGCCATTTCCGGCAAGGCTGTCGGCCAGGAGCTTCGTCAATTTACTGTCCCGATAAGGAATGTGGCCCCCTTTTCGTTTTCCATCGCTCAAGGAAGCGATGCAGTATCCTACATAAACACAAACATCACTTATTTCGCGCGATTAACGATCATCATTTAGAAAATATATCCCTAAGTGTTCAAATGACAGATATAAAGTACACAAGGAACTAAAAACAATAGAATACAAAGTAACTAAGAAATAATAAAGATATACTTTTAGCTTCCTGTTCATTCGATATATTCGCGATCTCACGCGATTTTATTTCCTGATTTTTAATGTAAAAGTAACGTAAGTAATGTTTATGCAGAATGGCGTTATATCTTGTTATCCGAAGCATCAAAGCACTATTCATTTACTTATCGCGTAATAGCTGATAATTGTAACGAAGGAGGAGAAGAATTACCCGGAAGTATGGGTTAAAAATTAAACCCACGAGAAATCTTCGTTTCGTGGTAAATCGCGAGCGCAATCGCGAAAGTTCATCGATCAATTCTCTAGACGGAGGAAAGTTACACGGAAGCCACGTCTTTTCACATGTCAGTAACTTAATAGTCCGCTATCGATTTCTTCAGTCTATTCTAAATAATAGATGCGTCGCAATTTCAATGTCGAACAGAATCATTTTAATTTCTCCGATGAATTATGTATGATTGCTATTCGCAGCGATTGCAGAGCGACGCGAATATCTTTAAATCATACATAACATAGCGTGCATATATATAACATAACTGTATAACATGAATGAACAAACAGAAAACACGACGATGACAGGACGGATAGTTTGAATAAATTATTACGAGCTTTATTACGATTATTCTGTTAAAATACTTTCTAATTTTTTCATTTTTTCTAATAATGGAAGATATCTTAAATATCGCAATTATGGCACACACACACACACACACATATTAAATTATTAATTATTGGCCTTTAGAGTAAAGGTTCTTAGCCACTATCAACAACAATACAATAGGAATTAATTTACACATTAATTTACCTAACACCATGAGACTCTTATTAATGTTGTTCGCTTCTTCCAAGGTTTTGCCTTCGCTATGGGTTTTCTTCGTCATTTCGCTTCCGGCGAGATCCACGAAATTAATTTTACCCTGTTTTGAGATGAACACACCGTTCTCCATCTGCAAATAGATAGACATGTTCGTTTTCATTTCTGGCATAAATTAATTTGATTATTTCATGGGAAATCAAGAAAAATTATTAACGAAACAGATCCTTATATACTATTCCGCGCTATTTTTAGTACATTCGGCATCTCTATATGTGACGCTCTATATTCGAAGTTTATTTTAATCACATCACGAGGAAAATATATGCGGCAAGATATAAAATTGTTGAAATATTCACTCACCGCTTGTTCCGAAGTTATATTTACAGTCAGAATCGAGTGGCTCCTGCTGGAATATTCATTCATATTGTGCGTACCGATAGATCTGTTCCTCATTCCTGTAAAAATAGCAACATTTTATTAAATTGCAATTAATACATGTAAAATGAAATGTACTATGTAATAAATATAAAATGAAATGAAAGACATTTTACTGATTGATTGAGATGAAAGGAGATAGAAGAGAGTAGACAATATCGAATAGAATTCAGTAGTTGCAACTTCAAGATTAATTTTCTTAAAAAAAAAAAGAATCCATGAAATTAATGGGAAATATTTCTAATATAAAATTCGATAATTGTAACATCAGTTTCCGAACGCGTAGGCGATGATTTAGAAATTATACGAAATTCAAAATTCTATCTCTCTCGTTTCATTTAAAAAATGCCTGCTTTTCGAAATCGCACCTTCTTCGAGAACCGCCAGAAGATCGTCCAGCTCTTCGCATTCCACTGTGAAGAGATTCTCGACAAAGAATCCGCGCGTCTTTTTACTCCATCGAACTGCCAATGGTTTTCTCGAAGTGCCAGGATTTAAGAGATCTATCACCTGTTTTTGAATTCACTTGTATTCTTAACACCATTATTTTTACGAGGGATACTCGTTTACGATGATAGTCGCTTAACCTTTTTCATACATGCGAAGTAAAAGAAAAAGATTCCTCTTGTTTTATCTTATGCGAAATATATTCAAGAAAAATGTAAATTATTCTATCTTAATGATTTTTATCGTTTAACAGATATTATCATGTTATGATATCTTCCAAAAATTATACCTTCTCGTTATATATTTCCAGAAAAGAAGCCTTCAACACAAAATTGCAGTTCTCTTGTTCTTGAAGGACCTTAAATAGGTAGACGAAGGAACGGAAGACCAAACCGTGGTTCTCCGAGTATGGATTCATCTTTTCGAACTATTACAAAAAGAAATATACCGATTGATACGTTAAGTTGTGCAACGATGTTGTTATATTTTTCATTCTACCAACACGAAAATTTCCCGTTTTGCATCTTTTATTCTGATTCGTAAAATATATATTTGAACATTTTTTCACATATACACACACATCTGTGCATATATATCGTTTGGTTTTTTCATTACCTTGAAGAAACATTTATTGCTAATTGCTTTGAAGTACCGCCGTTTCGCACGATACGTACGTGACCTATCAAAATTTCAATAGCACGTTTAATCGAGGAACGGCATTACGTGTGACTTAAACGTGTCGTATTATCTTATCTACGAAAGACGATCAACTTTAACCTTCCGACTGCCAGTACATAGGTATCGATTGTTAACGTCACCGTACGTTTTACGTATTCGTTGTCTCCTGCATGTAGAGACGGTCGCGTCGCATCATTATAAAAAAGTGGAAAACGTTTCGCGTAAATTCACACTTTTCGACGTGTCCTTTTTCAATACTTTCCCAATACTTGAATACGATATCGTTCGCGCGCGAAAAACATTCAATTTCACGCATTTTGCGAACTGGACGATTATTTTTCGAGATTACTTGAAACGCGAAAGTAAAATCTCAAAGGACGAAAGCAAATTGCAACTAAAACTCCCTTTTCCTTTTTCACTCACGAGTCTCGGAGGTCCGGTCAGGGTGTGTGTCTTGCCACTTCCGGTCTGTCCGTAGCAAAACGCGGTGCAGCTAAAACCTTCCACCGCCATCTCGATGAGGTTTTTGATGCCGGAGTACTGCAGGATGTCCTCCTGCGTGGCGCCCGGCTCGAAAACCACATTGTAGGAGAAGAGCTTCGGTTTCTTGTCGCCGCTGCTCGTAACCGCGTCGCACTGCAGGTATTGCGAGATAATTAATAGAAGATAAAGCAAAATAATGTTTCTCGAAATTGAAGAGTTTGAAACGATCGTTATGACGTAAGTGGGGGGGAGGGGGGGGAGGGAGAGAAGTTTTAACGCGAAATGAATATCCCTGAACGAAATCACTTTCGAAATGAGGCCTACGAATTATTCAGAAGCTTGAATGAATTTTGCATCGTCGTGCTCTATCGAATCCATCCGTCCGATTCGACTATCGCTCTATCCGAAGTAGAGTTTACAAATTTAACGCGATCGAACGATATCGATTTCTCGGCAATGGAGGAATTTCGGAATAAAACTTCATCTTCGCACTCACATATATCTGGCCGTCGCCGGGGAACTGCACGACCATCTCGTCGCCGGCTTTGATCTCTTTGTTATTGAGCGGACGAACCCTGGGAACAAACGGTGTGAGCGAACGGCGTTGTTACCAGGATAATTACAGGTTTATTTCAATCCGACTAATATTAGAGCGAATCGAGGCTGAGTACCTGACCACGACGTTTATGTTGTTCTCTGGAAGTAGATGTTTGGTCGCTATTACCCGTCTATCGCCGTCTATCAATTTCTCGATGCTACCGACCCTAAAAGCATACGGCAACATTACATATATCCACCACGAATCACCGTTACCTCGATCACTGTTCAGGTTTAACCCATTTTCAAGGTAGGATCTCTCTTGTATATCTCAACGCAATAACACAAAAAGATCGCGCGATCAACCTTAATCGTGTATTACACAGAGAAAAAGGTTTCTTTGGATTTAGTATACGCATTTGTTCCGCGTGTAATTCTTCAAGGTAATTCTTCAAGGTAAAAACCGACATCACCTTCGTATAAAATATCATCTAAGCCTTAAGTGAAAATAATTGTCGCTCATTACTCATACATATCGAAGAAGAAAAAAAAGCGATTAATCATCGTTGAAATTAATTATCTGCCAAGAACATCGCGCGCCTCGTATCATGCCTGATCAAAAATTTCCCCCGTGGACCGTCGCACGTCAACGTACGGGACGGTTCTCGCAATTATTGACGAGTGCGCAACCGAGTCACCGGGGGGGGAGCGGGGGGAAGCGCGGCAGTTGTTACTATTATTACACATGTAATTGCTCCGCGCAGGACGCGAGGCGGTTCTATTATTAAATCGCCGGCGATCGTCCGGCGTAATTCCCGCAGATTAGCGGCCGGCGTTCCATGAATGCCTGATGGTGCTTCGTTCGATGCCGATACGGAAATGTCCAGTCAATCGTTCGATTGACCTCCAATCGCGCCACGGCAACCCTCATAATTCACGAAGCGTGTGCCGATCGCGCGCAGGACGCGCCCTATATCGCGTGCTCGACGGCATTCGTTCTCTCGATCCCTTCTCCGTTTTCGTTCCGCGAGCGCCGGAGCGAACGAAAGCATCCCCGAAGAAACCTCCGATGACGATCAATGATTCAAAATCGGAGCTCCGGTGTCGATAAATATCGGATGTCGCGCTCCAATTCGGCGAGTATTCTTCGAACTTCGAGAAATGAGAGCGTAAAAATAACGTAACGAGCCGAAATAAAGAGGAAGTGGGAAGACAATCGAAATTAACGAATGAATTCAAGTCCATCGGGTCTCAACGATGCGGATAAATTTTCAGGGGGTAGAGTCTGAAAGGCTCCTGCCACGCGCGCGATTACTTCGGTTTCCAACTAATTTTCTTACGTCTCCCTCTCGCTGGTATTTATGTTTTATTAATTTAACGCGAGGTCTCGATGTGAAGGGAAATGGAAAGAGCGAGGGGTTACTGGCACCTGTGGGAACAGCCGGGGACGGTGCAATTGCATCGCGAGAGTCGCCCGGCGCCGCGACTTTACTACGTTGTGAGCGTTAGTGGCGTGCAAAAAGAAATCGCATGCATGGAGTCGCGCGCGCGCCGAGAATCGCCATTTCCGCATCGTAAAACCGAGTCGAGGCTTTTTTCCCCTTTTCACCGCCGCTAAAACAGAGATATATCGCGAGCATCGCGTCGCATGCGAAAACTCCCGAGTTCCCCGTATCTGAAAGTATCTATCTGGTCTCTGCGAAAATGAAAAATCGCCTTTTCCTCCGTATGTCATTCCGCCGCATTCTCGCCGACGTGGTCGCGCGGTCAGTACCGTGAGTCGCGTAATTTATGCGAAACGATCACATTAAAAGTTTCCTTATTAATGTATCAGTTACTGGTCGCATTCGATAATGCATGACTAATGAACCCGATTTACCCGATTCGATCGCGCAATTTTTTCCCTCGGCAGACTTGCGTCATCACTTTTATTATCTCACCAATCTCACACGGAGAGAAATATATAGTTATTTTCGGGGATGACGATATTCTTTTTTTTTTATTTTAACCACGAAAATAATAGCAGCAACATGAAGTTATTATCACTGACACTATAGTGAACACTTAGTAGAAAAATCATTTTCTCGGCCATTTTTGTGGTTAAAATGAAAAAAGGATATTGTTATCCCCGAAAATAATTATACTTTTCTCTCGGTGCACTTAATTCTTTTTGCAGATTCCGCGATCGTACAGCGAGGAAGATTACAGCGCTTTTCCTTTTCTCCGTCCGCCCGTCATATGCGTGAATCGCGCGCCAAGTCATTGTTTAGTTTTTCCAACAATTGTCATGCTACGTGCGAGCGTCGCCGCGCGTACGTTGCTCTCTCTCTCTCTCTCTCTCTCTGAACTTGGCAACTCGTAAAAATCATTCGATTCGCCCCATGACTCGTGACGATTCTTCAGTGTCTTTTTCCTCTTGACGGTAATTAACATAGATAGACAGATAGACGCGCGTAAGCATAACGTAGCAACAGACGTGACGCGCGTTTACGGCAGGTATTTCGATGTCGCATATCGATTGCGGGACCTTGCGGCCACTTCATAGTCACAGTCGCCGATAATGACCGTCCCGTATACATAGGCACATGAATCTATCTCGATGTATCGTATTCGCGAGCCTTCATTTTTCTTCACTTTCCCCGACGAGTGTTTTACATGACGGAGCGGCGGGCCTTTCATAATCACGGCGACGTTCCGGACGGGATTAAATTGACGCGCGCACTATTCAAATATAATCGCATGTTTATTATAAATTCCGATACGTCGCCCACGTTGCAAATGGGTGTATCGCAGCGCGCGTTATGTACGCAACGACGTTCCGTGAAATATTTAAAATTCATTGCAGAGCGCGCACGACGCATTTGCGTGATGCGTGCCGATTTCGCTGGTTTATCGGGAAATCGCAGATAATAAATCGTGAGATATGTTCGCTCAGATCACACTCCGGTATGTTGTCACACACGACCTGAGTATCTATCTCATTAGGAGGGAGCTTTAATCAGATCGGAAAGAAATTGAAATGGAAAGAAAGGCGCGGGTAGACTAGACAACAATGAGGCAATAAACTGGCAGCTGAACTACGACTGCTGGTTCAATCACTTCATTAGATAAATCCCATGGAGAAGAAAGTCTCCTCTCTGATTTCTCTGGCGGTATCAACGGTATCAATCTGACTTTAATCTCTCATCGCAATGGTAATATAATTGTACAATAATATGAAATCGCGTATCGACCGACCGGAAAAAAAGAGAAAGAGGGAGAAAAGGTGTGAGAGAGAGAGAGAGAGAGAGAGAGACCGCAAGGTCCCGTAATCGATAGGCAACATTGAAGCGCGCTATATACCGTAAATGTGCACATATTCATCGTCGCGCATGTACAGATGCGTATGTTGTTTTACGTATCGACGCGCGGTGGGGTTTACACAGGCAGCCCGCGTAAAATTGAATACAACCTCGCGAACGATAGTTACTGTCTCTCTCTTGATGGCGCTGTATGGCGTCCCATCTCTGTCCCAGATCTCCGGGACGTTTTCCAGCTGTCAATTTTTCGCGCCGGCTTTTCCCGCGGGCGTAATTTTTTCTTGCAAAACCGCGACGAATTGATCGGGCAGTTTCGAGAAGCGAGATTACCGTAATCTCGAGATTAAATCTCAGCAGCGTTGAGGGTGATGCGGAGAAAAAGACTTCCTTGGATTCAATAAGATTTCTTTAATTGAAACAAATTTGTCTTTCGGGACAGAGCAAACGAGCGTTTGATTCGACAAATGGGATTTGGTTTGGTTTCGCGAACAATAAATATCTTTACGTCAAATGACATATTTCGCTTGTATTTTCATCCAAACATTACGTTGATTGTCACAAGTAATAAATTATTTGAAAAAAGTATAGCATTATGTTAGAAAAATATTAAAGAACTTCTTTGTTTCAATGGAACGATATTTAATATTTAATAATGAAATACATTTTTTTAATTAAAAACGAAATATTATTTCTTCTAAATAATACTGTTTCTTCTATAAAATAACATGGTTTACTCTAGTAAAAGAACAATATTTATATTGAAACAAAAGGATGAGATTTGATATTAAATTATGTTATTTATATTAAGAAAACCCAAGGCGACCGAACATGTCTATTAAATCCGAAGAAGCCTTTTTCTCTGTGTAACAGCTGGGAAGGCAACATATATAAGCGTGTGAAAAAAAATAATATTTTACGAACCATCGCTCATAGTAAGAAATGAGACGGCTTTGATTATTTAATTTTGTGACTTTATATTTTACAATTCGAACGAGAAAGATGGAAAAGTTCCCCTCTTGCGAATGAACGATTGCTATGCGTCAGTACCTTTCGAGCTTAAATGGAACACGTATCAATTTTTACTTGTCTTATCGATCAACTGGGTTTTCCTTTTTTGCGCGAGTAGGTCGATATGATAATAAAACATCGAGCATCGATCGTCAACGTCGTATCCAGCTGACGGTTTTCCGCGAGAAAAGAAACCACGTCAATTTGCGCCCGTGCTACCTACGTTAATTCTACGTGTCGCAATCGCCGGTATTATCGGCGACAAATCAAAGCAAAGCAATAAAGTACATTCCGATATGATCACGACGAATCGTTTTTTATCGCGTATTTGCGCGAACCTTCCAACTTGTCGCGTATAGATCGAAGAGTTCCTTTCGTCGACTTACCAAAATCGTTTATACGCGAAATTATCGCCAAGCGGAGAAATCTTACGCGGGGAAACTTTGGGGAACACTCCTTCGCGATTTTCCAAACCATTCGCGGAAAGTGGGGCGTGAATTGCGAATTCCTGACTCATTCGCTCGTTATCGTTAATCTTTATTTCCGTCAACGTCGATGCGTCGTTTCGCGATCGTACGCGATTACGCAAATTCGTTTCGCGATAATTTTGTCGCCGGCGACATTACTACACGCGTCGTCTCCGGCGTGTCTGTCCCCGGCTGCGAGAGAACGTCGATACGTTTTATCGAGAGAACGTCCGTAATCGGGCGAATTGTATTTGCCCGTTAAACTTTCACTTCGATGTGTCCTTCGATTATCCGGGGATTTCCGATGTATGAAACGAGAAATTTATTAAGTAGGATAAACCGTTGGCTACTTTTCTCGGAAGTATATATCTCTCGCGCTCGTAAATAACTTTTATTTTCGTCGTACCTATTCACAATACAATTTATCTCGTTATCTTCTCTTTATCCCTCGTAATTTCACAATAGATAATCGCATGACTTTTCCATTAAGTAATTTATGCGCATACGTTCTTACTAATTTAATGTAAAAAAATGTAAAAATTGTAAAAAAATGATTTTATTTTATTCAACGATTGTTTGACGATTGAATTATCCGACGACATAGGGTGTTCCCAGACTAACACTAGAACTTCTCTTATAAATACATCCGCCTTGGTATTGCTTCAGGTCGTCGAGACATGAAATCACGGGATCTTGTCCCGCGCGTTCAAGTCTCTGTCGACCACAAAAAGTTCACGACTGGAACGCTCTGTATGATTCAAATGCCAAACACGTGTTATTTTCATTAGTGTTGTAAATACTCACTCGCTGCCTCGTGACTGCAGTAGCGCACTTTTCCCCTTTCCCTTGCCATCGTAGCCGCCGCTCTTTCCTGGACTACTTCCTCGAGAACTATTCCGCTCGGCGGGACTGTTTCCCCGCGAACCCCGGCCTTTTCCTCTCCTCTCGTTCTTTCCATTTTCTCGTGATGGGCTCTGGCCGCGCGTCGGGGACGGATTTTTCACCAGCACCATCCGTCAACCTGAGCACAAAAGTCGCAATATGTTAACTCACAGTCGGTAAAAACAGAAGATCATTAAGATCGAGAAGACAACTCGAGAATTGGAAAATCGAGAATCAAATATGGGTTTTCCGGACAAAACAAGGAGCATTAGGTTAACGCGATATTTACAGTGACTCGGATGCGCCTTAATCTCCCCGCGATCTTTCTGCTAAACGCGCAAATTCGACGAGAATTTGCGCAATCATCACGCGCGCGCGCTCAACGGTCGGCTAATTACGAACGCTCGCTTCTCCACTCGATTCACTCGCGAATCCTCGGTTTCGCTCGCGATGGTAATTAACTATTATCGCAATTAGAGCGAAAGCTGCCTCGGGAACTGATTTGGAAACTGATTTGGAAACGTGAATGTGATAAACGCGCGTGGACCGAATGAAAATGCGCTTCGAACGGGCTCGATTTCATCGGTTCAATTCTAAGAGTTCGGAACGGACCCTTACTTTTCTTTTCCCTGCTGGAGAAAATGTCGGAGCACCGCAGAATTAAGATCGCGCCGCGGAAGCATCGAAATCACCGGCGGTCGCGGACCACGCGGCGACCGCCTAAGGGATGGCAATTTGCTCTCTTTCGATGAGCGACATCGCTTTTGCCGAAAGATCGAAAGTTTTGCGCGAAGTGAAAGCGAGCGAGTGAACGGACGCGAAATACTAATAATAAGGACATTTACATGAGTTATTAAAATGCAGATCGCGCAATTCTCTCTCGGCACTGGCGCCGGGAGAAAGAATCGCGAAACTTAACGACCGATTAAAACGATGCTCCGGGCGAATGGCGCGTACAACAACAGCGCAATATATCCGGACGCCTTCCGTGCTTTCCAAACTTTATTACTCCCATCGAACGATGGAACGTCACGGCTGGCGCTGAAATAAGGCAGTGCCGCGTTTCCGTGCATCTCGTCGTCATTATTATTATTGACCGTTCCTGAAAAGCGAGCAGCGAAAAAGAACGCTCATCTCACCCTAACGGAGCAGCGGAAGAGAGCTTCCATAATTGAAGATACTGCTTATAAACCAGCACGGGCACACGTGACGTCTTCGAGGGTGTAAAGGCAGGCGGCTGACGAAAGCGCACTTACTTACATTCGCAGTTTCATGTATCGTCCGGAAAACAAGTCCCTCGCACCTTCTCGACGCCGAAACCGCCACCCGCGACGACGAACAACACGCACCCCGTCCGAGGACCGAGCGACGCAATTTTTCTCTCGTTTTTCTCTTCCCACTTTGCAATTTTGAAATCGCTCTCGCGAGCGCGCCCGATCGCGAGAGCAGGAAGGGGGACGCCGCGATCTACGTTCCTCGTGAGCGAAGCCGCGGAGAACTCGAAGTCGCGAACATCCCGCGCGCGCGATTGAGAATCGTGAGAGAGTCGTCGGTGAAGGATAGCTGAGGAAAGTACGTGCACTAACAACAACCACCGGCGCCGTACTGACACTACCCATCGGCGACGGGGTGAGTTTTGACCCACCACCACGAGGGTGTAGTTCTCCCTACGGTCGGCGTCGCGCAACGCGATCGAAAGCGGGCGAGTCACACGCGGTTGCTCGTCACAACAGAGACCAGCGTTAACGCTATTACCATTACTACCAGCAACACCACCACTACTATCCGCGCGTAGTTGCTAAACTTGGCGACCACCCTCGCCACGGTCATCGTCCACGTGGACTTGAAGTTACCGTCGTCGCGAACTTGACATCGGCTGCGACAACGGCGATGTTTACGCGATGCCAAACGAACCGCTCAACTCGAGTCTGTTTACCTAACGACTAAGGAGTACTCGAAGGCTCGAACTGTCGAAAGAAAAACGTAAACATGACTTTAACGGCAGCGTTTCTGTGTTTGCCTTCCCTCCCTCTTCCACTTGGTTTTCCAGTTTTCCTCGGCATGAATTCCTACATTTTTCCTTCGATTGCTTGCGAAATCAGCTGTTGTAGATACCACGTGTCTTACAGCAAAGTTTCAAATTACACCAATTTTCATAAATATTAATATTAATTATATATTAATATATATTAATTAAGGTCTATAAATTTTTCGTTTTGTTAGACCAAGTAAGATATAGTCTTTCTTAATAATAACAAGTATTAATGAGACAATCACGAATATCGCGTGTCATAGAAAAATGTCATGACTTTACATAGGACAGGATATTACATATTTAACACATAAGAAGGAATTGCGTGCGACTTATGCATTTTACGCATCAGTATCTCTCTAACGAGTTTGAACGTGCTTCCGTTCTAGATTATATTAATAACAATAAGTACCACGTGTTGACCATCGCGATTATTACCTCGATTATATATCGAGAGCAATTTCGACAAATATTTTCGTCCCATTTGGACGTGACGTTCAAGATCGTACGTGGAAGAATACGGTGGACGATAAAAATACGACCGGGTGTCTCTCTTTGCGAACGGTTTCCGATGTCAAATTTCCGGGTTGCCACACGATGCATGATAAAGTTGAGTGCACTCGATTATCCGCGGCACCGTCGTTTGTGCTCGCCTTTCCATTCATCTAGATATTACTCCCTGAAACGGCTTCTTTGTACGCCTTGTGTAACACCGGATGACGGTTTTACGGTAACCAGCAGACGACACAATTCGTCGCGCTACGTTGACGTTGGCGGATCGACAAACGACAAAATAGAAGAGAGCCGAGGAAGCTCATTTACGAAACATCGTGAAACTATGTTTAAGAAAAAAAAAATTCGATTTTTGAAAAAGCGACGAAAACAACACAATGATAATATTTTGTTCTTGTGTTGGAATCGATCCTTGTTAAAAGTTTTGTGTTGAATTCTCAACATAGCCGTTTGAGACATATGGAGTGTGTGAAATTTAACACAAAATTTTTTACTGTTCCTACGTCGTAGGTTCATATTTTTTAAGAACCTGCAACGTTCCGGAGATAAGCTCTTCTATTAAAGATATATCAAAGGAGCGGATCAAAATATACTTTTACGTTTCGCGCGAAATTATTGCAATCTTATCATCCCTCCTCCTCTCTTATTATCACTTATTATTCGTTATTTATTAATTTATTACTCACTCCGACTCGAAGAGTTCGTTCGGAACCGTAATCCAAGAAGCTTTCGAACACCCCACGTTCCCCCGGGATCCGCATTTCGCGTAGAATTCAAGGGACAAGCTTCCGGAAAGAAAGAGAGAGAGAGAAGTACATTCACTTGAAAGACGCACTCTCGTTACATCATGATATACACGCGTCACGTTCGAAAGAACAATCAGGAATGTGATCGCTTGGCATAGGATGGTTGTAGGACGCGACGCGAGAACCTAACTCCAAAACAAAACCCACGATCCCCTCTTCTCCCCGCGCGCGGCGAGCCTGTGAGACGTAGTCTCGCGTCTTATACATTGGCGCGAGCGACACGTTTGCGCACGCACACCGGGACGGATTCCTCTCTCCTTCTCCTGCTGCCTCATTCTTTCCTCAACCGCCACCTTGTGCAGCACGGGACAGGGATCCTTGGGAGCCGGCAGTTTCATGTGTTACACCACACTGTGCGCACGAAATCGCGGCGCAACGTTATCCTTGAAGTACAGGCGGCCGTTTCGTTACTCGGTTACGGTGTGACGTGGGCGATCTTTTCTCTGTCAAAATTGAGAGGACCTGTGCACAGCAAGCAGTGTGTCAGTGTGTGATTTTGCTGTTGCCGATGACGACGGGAGAAATCTCTCATGGTGACCTGACGATGGGCGAACACGCTGCTGCGGACCACTCGTGAGTCTTTGGCTACGGCGAGAACGAGAGTATTCGGGCGGAACGAAAGTGAGTACGCGCAACATTCGTTTTCTTCTTTTTTCCTTCTTCTTATCAGTACACTTCGTGGTTATATTCCGCACGCGGTCGAGGAACGGAAGGAGGCAACAAGCACGGATACGCGAAAACGCATCTCGCGTGTCCTATCGTTTCGTTTTATTTTTATTGTGTTCGTCCTTATTTCTCTTGAGAATAAAGTTGCATTTCGCGGTGGTTGCATTTCACCATGTGGAGGGTATTAAAATAAGAAAAAATGTCAGGTGCATAGAATTAAAATTGATCTGTGTTACATATAATTTATATATAAATAAAACTCGAAAAACATGTGAAATTTATCGGGAAAATCCCATCAGCAAATTGCCTAAATCGATACTCGTGTTTCTTCGGCTCGTTCGGGACAAAAATCGAATTGAAAATATTTGTTTGATACTTGGAGAAAATTTTAGCTCAGTTTGTAGAGTATTTTTAATATTTCCTTTTCCCTTTCCAATTGACCCGAAGTAAACGCATCGATCGCAATTTGTATCACCATCTGCTCGGCATGAGTCACGAAGAAGAAATCACAACCGTCTCGCGCTTTTATTAAAAGATGCACTGATCGCTGCAGATGTTACACGCGGATGCGGCAGTCTTAAAAGCGCTGCGATATGATCCACGACTTCGTGTAAAGTCATTTTCCAGGAGATGGTCCGATCTGTTTGCGCACTTTTATCATTTGTCACAATTTATCATTTTAATGTGCGCGCGCACACACATACACACACACACACACACAGTTCATTATACAACATGTACCGTACTAGTTGTTCGCACGCAAGTAAAAGTACGATACCATTCCTCGTTACAATTGCATTTCACGCCAATTATACCGTAACGGTTACCTCTAACAAGCAATCGAATTAACCTTCTAGGCGACTAATGGGACACAACAAAGCAAATATTTGCGCAGTCATGTTCCATTTCTCTGAGACAATTCTGTAAATAAAAAGTAAGAATGTTGCCACAAAATGACCTGTTCAATCTAAACAATGTTTTGTGTAATAACGACGTTGTAACTTCAAACATAATTCTAACCATAATTATAATCCCGAGAGTCATCGAAAATATATCACTGATGTATATTTTGTAATTGATGGTAAAATGCATGTTTTGAATTTTGATAACGCGTGATTCACGAAGAGTCATGAAATCGTTCCGTGGAATTTATCGAATCATTGTCGGTTTCGAGCGAAGGTTAACGATTTAACGGCTTTGATGAAGATGTCATTGGTTGGCCAAGGACGGTTTTACGTCGACGCTGCGCTGCATCTTAAACGCGACTCGATGTTCACTCAAATTTGTCGAAGGACACATTGAATATCGCCGACTGATGATATCAAAGTGCGTGCTCGGTGCAGAACTTTCTGTGAATTGAAAGAACTTTTCCACTTAGTTGCTCCGTTACGTAATAACGTGATTATCCTCGGCACCCCGATCTTCCGTATTTCGCAGCTCGGGGACGGAAATTATGAGCGGAGTGAGAACTCGTAAAACTCGCCGCGATCGGTCCGGGATTCCGCGTAGATGCTAACTGTAGAACCGCTGAATTATCTTCCGAGAAAGCAACGTCGAAGATAGAAACAAAAGCAGGAATTCGGTCGAGGCATTGTTATTGTCGGCGGGTGTACTCGCGTCGCGGTTTACCGTCGTGGGACCCCCGGATTTCTATCGACTTTCCGCTTCTCCTCGCGTAAAGAGAACTCGAAAAGGAAACGAGAGAAAGCGGGGGCCCTCTTTTTACAAGACAAAGCAATTACGCCGATCATAGAAAGCGCCCTGTGAAAAAAAAATACGGTCTTGATGCAAAATCGGTGTAAAACTGCTGGTGTCTCGCATTCAGAGGCGACCTAATATCAACCACTTTCGCTACCACCCGTATGCGCGTGACACCTCCGATCCGTATAATAGACCGTTTCTGCGAAACGGTTACATAACGGTGGCGAACGGTCAGATAAAATGATGAATGGATATTCAGAAAGGAAATTGAAATTGTATCGCGTATGCTTTTCAAATGGATTTGTAGAAGCAGCGCCGAAGGTCGGTAATTGGCTCGAGAAATAAAATTCAAGATAAAACGCAGAGGGCAGGTGCGAGTTGGGTCGCGGGTATCGGAGCGAAGGTTGCGCAAACACGAGGACATCTCGAGACAGAGGCTCTCTTTTGTCCTATCAGCCAGGGTTGCCACCTTTTCTTCGACAGAGATCGGGACTTGCTTTTTTCTTTTTCATTTTTGTTTCTATTTTGCCCTCATCGTCATCTTACCTTTTTGCTTCTATTATTCCCTTTTGTTTTATGTAAAAATAGAAATTTTTCCCATTCATGCTATAAATAAATAAATAAATAATATTAATACCTTACATTTGTACGTGAGCACGTTTCAAGTAATAATTGAAAAAACTCATGTTTTCTAACAAAATAAAAAAATTTAATTTACTTTGGCCTCCATTTATATATTATTTATTGCTTTGAGCAATCCCCACGTCTGCTACGTTCGGCACGTCTGCGCGTTATCGTGTGAACATTGGTATATTCAACGTCCCGACTGTCATCCTGTCAGGACAAATGATGATAAGTCGTGACAATTTCGACAGGACGGACGGCAAACCTGCCTTGTCAGTGTTCCTCAAAGAAGGCAGCTTCGGCTGTAGATCCGCACGCGAGGGCGCGTTACCGCCGATGCTAAAGCACGCGTATCATAACTCGCGCATCGGAGCGGCTCGACACCGCGAAAACTGGCACGCGAGTAATTGCGGGCCGAGAGCGAAGAAACGCGAGCGGCACACCGAGTGCGTTCGTTTCCCAGAAAGTGCGTATTCAGTGGCGTGAGATCGCAAGAGCGGATAGAAACGGATGTGCTCAACGGGGAAAAAGAGCGAGAGTTATGTGTTTCTCTGAACGTGGAAACTGTAATTGTTCCATCAGCACACATCTTGATCCTGACCTCGTCCTTCCGTTTCTCTCGTCGACGTTATCGCGTCTTTGTCGTCGAGACGCAAAAATTGAAAGGAATCCTTCTCACCGGGACCGCCCCCCTTCTGGAATTGAATTTCGTAGCGAAAGTTGAAACGCGTCGGTTAGCGAGGATAGCGCGAAAGCACTCGTCGATCCACTCTGATCTCCGATTGCTCGAAATATCGCTGTTGAAAGTCGCTGACGCGTGAATAATTTCGACAAGTCGTCCATCTCGGTATCAGGTTGTCGCAATGCGACAAATATCCGATATCACTCGGAAACTCAATTCCGTATTTCCACGTTGCGGCATTTTTCATCGCGAAAAAGTCAGGCGTGCCCGCAGGTGGTGGCAACTGGTTTCACGTTTTGGGCCTGGTTTGTGTTTTTGGACGTTTCTCCTGCGACCGCGAGTTTTTTGCACGATTTGTGCCGTTACGCAATTTGCGCGCAGCCCGTTAATTAGCACAAACCGCAACACGCGCGACCGTAGATTCGCCAAGCGTGAAATGTCAGGGCAAGTTAATGCGAATATTACGTTTGCACGTAAAACGTCGGGTCAGGTCAAGTAATTGGAGTGACTGAGCGGGCGAGCGAGTAAACGAGCGATCAAGCGATTCGAGAAAAAGCGGAGAACTCGTTTTTTTTTTTTTTCGAATTACACCCTGCGAACAGGCCGGCGCATTAGAAAGTCGGCTCTCGAGGATTCGAAATCCTTAATTTTCCCTACACTGATCACTTTTTTAACTGGCTTTTATTTATTTCTACTTTAATTACGTCAGGCATGGGAGCGACTCATTTTTTTCTCACTTATTTAGGAACATCTTACTTTTGAGAGAAAAATTCGCTCTCTTTTCTCATTCTTTTCTTGCTCTGCTTGAGTGCTTTAAAAAAAAATCGATCACGAGAAATTATGTTTGATAACTGGCTTCTAGTATAATAGATCAACAATTTAATTTTTAACGTATAAATTATTTGAGAAAAACTCGCTTTTTATTCATTTTTCTTAAACCCGACTCACCGTTTTCTTACTTTTCCAAGAATGATACTTTCCTCGCTATTTTTGACAGTTAAATCGCTCCCATGCCTGCGTTTCAATTAATTAATGCGCGTTTCATCGCGATCTCTTTAGTGTTTTCAAGTAAATAATCTCCCACATAATTCTTCAATACTCAGTCCACCTACGGTAGCGGGAACGACTTTTACACGCGTATTTGACGCGCGGAGGAGCGCGCCTACCGAAAATAGATCGTGGCGCTTAAAGTTCGCCGTTAAATCGACTCGCGGGTCTTTCCCCCCGTGCCTTTTTCCGCGTCTTCTTTTTACCGTCCTCCCGCCTTCCGCCGCTCCTCCGGCCGGTTTATTATTACACACGGCGTACATTCTCTCTTTCGCTTCGTCCTGCTCCCTCGTCTTCGCTCTCGTCGTCGTCTGGGCCGCGCGAGCGGAGCTTATTAAGACTCGCTACTACCGGCGGACAACACCTTGAGAGAGCCCTGAACTTCAGATATCGAGGATGACCAAGGCTCAAGGTCGGTCCGAATCCGAACCGGCTAACCGGTTTCTCTTCCCGACGAAGATTCGGTGAGAAATCGACATAAGGTCGGTGCCTTCACGCTTCTCGGCCAATTTATCAGCCTCGTGTTACTCTTATCCGAAATCTTTCACATATGTCATCCCTCACGCCTGATGTGTAACTTCACATACTGAAATATTATTTTCGTTTATTTAAAATGGTCCGACACTGCGATTATTCCGAGGAACGGAAGTCCACGAGACGAGAATGCTTCGTTGTACAGAGAAGCCGCGAGAAAGGGTGAGATATTTTGTAGGAAAGAAGTAGTCTCTCGGGAAGCAATTTCGCTAAATTCAGGAATAAAATCGTCATTGAACAAATTTCGATAGCGCAAGTAGGATGGGGGTTCTTTTTAGAGTACTGTATTGCGCATAATTGTCTCGTGTTACCGTTCCGAAGACGTCGTATTTTCCGAGCGCTTCGTTCCTTTTATCTTGCGGGTGTGCGTGTATAGTACATAGTTGGCTTTGCATCTTTCGAAGTAGCGCGCTTCGCGTTGTAAAGTTCACGCGAACGATAAAGAATCGGGCAAATATTTCAAAGATGAGCTACCGTAGACTTCCCGACGGTTGCAGCTCGTGGCAACTTGCGATTAATTGCGAGCGAGACTACCTCGTCTTGGAACTTCTAACAGTATTTTCCCTCGACGAGAAGGCGGCAGGTACACGGGCAGGAAATGTCGCGCGGCGCACACCGTGCGCCTGCCTTCCTCTCATTATCATAAGATAAAAGCGCTTTTATTATGCGGGCTTCGTGCGGCCGCGTAACGTGGCCGGAAATCGCCCATCGTAACGAGCCGATCGAAAACGCGCCACATGAGCGAGCTGGTTGTCGCATTATATTTCCAGCATGTATATATATATATACTGCTTTTCAACACGTGTACATGAGACACGAATGATATATTTTTATCGTATTAAATAATATTAAATAACATTGAAAAAAATTAACAAGCACGAAGAGAGACACACTTTGTTCGAGGAACTCGCGTTCAAAAATGTTCTCCCTTGCTGTTTCCCTCGCACTCGTCGTGCAACTTGTGAATGTAAAATCCGCGACAAACGGCGAACTCGTGCGAATGACGACGAACGCGCGGTGAAAACCCGTCCTTCCTCTCGCTGAACGCGAGAGAGCCGACAAAAGGCCAACCGGTTTCCGGAAATGGGTTGCTCCGTCCTCACGTAAGACGAATGTATCGTCGAGTTACAGACGGAGCGGACGGAGAAGATAAGAAGGTTACCCAATTACCCAGATAACGCGACAGATAATTACAGCGCGGCGTATGATTTCCCAATTTTGCCGATTAAATTTGACAGCTGATAGTGGGCAATTATTTCATAAATAATTACATGTGCACACCTCTCCGCGATCGATCGTAAATCGACGTTCTCTCTTTCTCTCTCTTTCTCTGTCGCAGCATCCTTCGTGCTCGACGTGATCAACCTCTCTTTCGCCACATCATACATCGCGCGTCCGTTGCATCCTTCGTGCATATTTTCGGAATAAACGTCACGCGTGCGCGGGATGGCCTCCCTGGTGAAACGGGCTCGCGATTTTTATTTATTTTTTTTTTCATTGCGCCGAGGATCGCCGAAGGCCCCTTTTTTCCCTTGACTCATCGCGGGATGACGCATTGCGTCAGAGTGAAGACGCGTCCTCGATTTCGCGGTGCGGAAAAATGCAACGACGGCTACGACTTTCCGTTTCGCGCGAACGTGCACGCGCGACCGCGGTAATGCACGATCGATTCCCGTCGCCTTAACCAAATAATGTAAAGGACACGCTAACGCTAATCGCGAGTTCCGATAAGTCACGAATTAAAATTAACGAGGAAGAAGAGAGGAAAGAAATTGAGAAAGTACAAATTAACAGTATAATTTGCACAATTATAATAAATATTTTTGATATTTTTAAATATTTCTCGGAGTGTGATGGAAAAATATCATTTATATTTTTTGTTTGACATTTTTTACTCTGCAAACTCTGCCATGTTTGCTTCATTATATCTTGTAGATTCGAGTAAATATATTATTAGTACCCGTCGAAAAAAAAAAGATCTCTTATTTTTTTTACTTATTTTCTCTCTCAGTGTACGAATGTACTTTAACACACGTATGCGAGATAGGAAAAATCCAAGAGCGGACACGACGACTTCATCTTGGTGTATCTCGGCAACGTTTTTGACAACCAACGAGCCGCGACAATGGCCTCCTTTGTATTCTGCGATTGATAATTCCGCCTGCCATTCCGTGATGTACACGAACGCCGGAATGAGCAACACGAAGCTCGCCTTGGTGGTGATTGTTCCTTGCCGATATATTGCGACCCGCATTCTCGATGTATACCCACCTACCCACTCAGCATTCGCGAGGCGGCAAATTGCTCATCGAACGGGGTTCATGACCGAGTCAATGAGTCAGATCGATTTTTTGCGCTTCCAGGAAAGAACGACCGGTTCGCGAGGCGGGGAGAGATAAACGCCGCGTTTAATTATTTATTGATCGCGCAACCCCGCGATTAATAATGTTAATAGCGCGGCACGCTCGCACCGCGAGACTCGTGCTTTTTTTTTGCTTTTCATCCTCTTGCCTTTCTCTCCTGCCTTCAGGAGGAAAAATGCCGCCTCGTTATTACGATCGTCTTAATTATCGAGAGAACGATTATACTTCCAGCCGTTTTTATTTGCTCGGCTTGTCCGACCGCTCGAGCAATTTGCGATGATGCTGCGAGAGTTTATGAGCAGGCGTATCCGATTGACAGTACGTTACGCACTATCATTATTTTTAATTTAGACGATTAGATTAAGCAAGATTGAACGAAGTTAGAATGCGGATGATCTGATTAGATTAGATTAAAATAGATAATTATTTAATCGACGTACAAATACTTGGAATATAATGAAATTATGTTTTTGTTACTATCACGTTCGATTCTTCTGCTCGCCAGTAATAATTTATAAGTTCAGAATAAGGCCTGACTGACCGGTGGGACTCTCCGGTCGCGTTTTGAAAAAAACTTAATTAACCCTTTGCGGCCGGTGTCCCCGCTACGGGGATATTTTTAAATCGTCGTAGAAGTCGATGTCCCCGTAGCGGGAACCTGTACGAAAAAGTAACGAAACACTAGATTTGCTCCGACCTGGTGGTACTCTCAAGAGCGAAATCTGCCGACCGTAAAGGGTTAATTGGCACGGTTCAACGAGATTAATGAAATGATGATTAATGCAACAATACGGCATAAATAATACCGCTACAATAATACAATCACACGCGAATGTGCCGCGCGATCGGTCGCGAATTTCCGACGATGAATACAGCGAATGTATTTTATTAGGTTCCGCGAGACTTATTACGTGTGTCAGCAAAGAATGAATTAAGATTAGATTAGATACGGCGGCTCCATCATCGCTCGTTTCTCTTCCAACGTTTACGGTCTTGCATTCGATTATCAGATGCGTTTCGGCAATTTGTCGATGGCTACATGATGACGTCATTTTGTACAATCCCATCATATTGAATGTTCGGAGCAAATGTCGGGAAAAAATTCCGGGAATGAAATTAATTTCTCGAATTGTTTATTTACAAATTTCTTATTTAAGATAAAGATACATATTCGTTGAAAAGTCTAACAATCGTACTTGTTAATCGAAACATTTAGTTTCTTCGGAGCATGCCAATGATGACATTTGTTTGGATGCGATGAAATTTATGAAATTTGGAAAAATCTTTTTCTCCGTTTACCAACAGGATGTAAAAAAGCTCACTAATTATGGCCGTTACCAAACCGGATTAACCGTGTAAACGTAGTCGCGTGTGACTTCCTCCCCGAATTGCATTTAAAACCATAAACAACGTTTGGCGGTAACGAATTTTCACGGCGGTTTCCCTCTCATCGGGCGGCGTGCACTTGCCATTAGACGCCCGCAATTTCGTTCCGCTATCAGTCGCGGATAACGGGCTGGAGAGTGGGGGGGGGGGGGAAA